TGCTGGGGTTCTATTTAGAAAGTTCTTGCCTAAATTTAATTCATTTTTTGTTCTTTTCCTAAGATTTCTATCCATTAAAAAAATGTAGTACACACACACGCACCCATGCACGCCTCCATGCATGCACATGTATGCAGGTGCACACAGAGGCTAGAAGAACCTCTTGGAACTGGAGTTACAGGCTGTTGTGGACCACGGGTGTGGGTGCTAGAAACTGAACTTGGGTTCCCTGAGAGAATTTCAAGCACTCTTAATCAAGGATCAATCACTCGAGTCTTCTCACTCGTTTCTTAAAATGCAGCCTATGATGCTTGTAATCGCCAAGGGGAGGAAATGGGTACAGAGAGTGTGGTTAGAAGGCTCCAGAGGTGTGAGCTCTGTTCTTCTACTGTGTACCAGGCAATGAGTGTTCATTTCATGACTTGTGGCCTATAGCTTACATATAGATATGAATTTCAGTGTGTGAAATACTTGTTGGCTTAAGAATGGAAGAATTTTTACTGCAGGCTAAGGTTTGTCCTGCTAGCTTGAGTTTCTTGAAGTTCATGGTCATGAACTTCAGTCAGCTCCTTCTACACAGTAAATTATTTTTAGAGGGTTTCCCACCCTACTTCTGCATAAGGAAATTTTGAACACAGACAAGCGCTATATTTACTCCTAGTCTGTGTCTTCGTTTACCAATAGTTTCAGTTTCTTGACATGTCTTTGGAACACTGTTCTTTGCAGCCTTCATACCAATTATCTTCTGAATGTGTATCTCTTGCTAATCAGTGAATATGGCTTCTTCCTCAGCTTTATGTATGTCTCTGGTAGTCTCCACAGCAACAGAAATGCTAAGACACTCCCCTTAAAGGTCTTGGATATTAGTCCCAAGTTACTGTATTCTGGAATCAAATGTCCTTGAGAAATATCCCACACTTATCCTAAGGGTTAAATACTTTTTTAAAAAAAGTTAAATTAAAATACTCAACATTTGGAGCTACCAAGATGGTTCAGAGGATAAAAGGAATTGCCAATAACCCTGACAACTCAAGTTTGATCCCCAGAGCCTGTATAGGAGGACAGAAGTGACTCCCAAAAGTTGTCATTGGACCTCTAGCTGCCCGCTATGTGAGATCACACACTCACTCACAGCTTTATGCACACACACTCACAGCTGTATGCACACACACTCACAGCTCTACGCACGCACACTCACAGCTCTACGTACACACACTCACAGCTTTATGCACACACACTCACAGCTCTATGCACACACACTCACAGCTGTATGCACGCACACTCACAGCTCTATGCACACACACTCACAGCTCTATGCACACACACTCACAACTGTATGCACGCACACTCACAACTGTGCACACACACAGCTCTATGCACGCACACACATGATTGTCAGGCTTGGTGTCACATGCCTTCATTTGCTGAGACATCTCATTGGCCCAGAAAGTGATCAGTGGGATGTCTTCCTGCCGCGTTTAAACGTCTTACCCAGAAGTCACACTTGCCGTCTTGTTTATGACTCATTGGTCACATGGTGCCCGCCAGTCATCGTGGTATTTTAAGTTCATTCATGAGGCTTCATGACGTCATGTACTCAGAGGGTAGAGGGAGCCTTAATGAGTGTCATGCACAGCAGATGGCCCTTCTCAAAACCATTCATAAATACTTCCTTCCCCGTGCATTGGGAGTCGTGTGAGAGAATAAAGGCTCCCTTGGGAAACCCTGGATCCTAGTCAGAAGAAACAAATCCACCATGGGTCATCATTCTGAGCCTGGGGTTTTTCATCAGCCTCCTTTGGTGTGGTCAGGGACCCTCCCATCACTTCCTAGCATCCATCCCTCCCCCCATTTGCAACATGTTTGTGGGAGAACATCTTGCCAGAAACGAAAGCTTAGCTTGAGCATCCTTCTTAGTTACGAGGCTATGTCTTTGAAACAAGATGAGTTTGTTTTGACTGTGGAATCAGACCAGTGGATGAATCAGTTTCAATCAAAGTAAACAGGGACCATCCGTAGATTTCACCTGCCTGCCACACTGTCTTTAACAGATTCTGCATTCACCCACGTGCATCACCAGACATGGCTGGATGCAGATAGACAGTGTCTGTGTAGGAGAGGATGCGAATGCAGAGTGGGGGAGGCATGAAAGCCGTAGTGTGTGCCCTCCGTGTGAAACTTCAGCTGCCTAGGAGAACACCTCGCAGGTCGCCTGTGGTAACACTAAAGTACAGTTTCCACTGTAGACCATGAAGGGGGTCCCAGGAAGAGCAGGGACTTCAGTGAGGTGCCGTGTAGATTTTAGTGTCCTGGAGCCATGTGCCTCCTGCCGCTGCTGTCTGTTGAAGGTGGGTTTACCTGGCTGAGCTGCGGGGAGCTATGGGTCCTGCAGGTAGGGCCCCACAGAATCCTGGCATGGTTATAAGGAGCCAGTCAGGCTTAGGGTGGCTTCCTCAGAAGATATTGATCTCCTTACAGAATGTAACAGCGTCCCATTGAGGATGGTGGCAACGTGGGCTTATACCCTGACAAATCCTAAAAATGACTTGAGGCTAATTTCTTTTTCTTCTTTTTTATATATATTTTATTTATTTTATTCATTTTACATACCAACCACAGTTCTCCTCCCTCCCCCCAAACCCCCTTCCCCTGTTTCCCCCCAACTCACCTCCATCCACTTCCCAGAAAGGATAAGACCTCCCATACGGAGCCAACAAAGCCTGAGGCCAATTTCTTATATATGAATCTCAACAATGGAAAAAATTTTAAAAACAAGAATCCAGGGCTGAGAAGATGGCTCAGAGGTTAAGAGCACTTGTTGCTCTTTCAAAGAACCAAGGTTCAATTTCTAGTACCCACATGGTGGCTCACAACCATCTGTAACTCCAGTTCCAGGGGATCTGACACCTTCTTCTATGGCCATGTGGTCCACATGAGTACAAGTAGGCAAAATATCCATACATATACATATACATGAAATAAAAATAATTTAAAATTGTTATTTTAAAAGACACAAGAACACAAAGGATCAAAAGGAAAATGTCCATGTGCTCTAATTCGGAGTGAAAAACTCCCATCTACATGCTTTTCCCAAGTGTCACAGAGAAATTGGAAAGACCGTTTTGGAAGACGGTTACTACTGAACTTTCGTCGTGGAGAGGATGTTGCTTATCACAAAGCTTTCACGTTGGAAGACTTTCTCCAGGAGTTCACTTCCTTGGTTGGCAGAATACAGAGCAGGAGAAAGGCAACCTGGAGATGCAGCCTCGCCCCGGGAGAGAGGAGCGCTCCCAGCCTGACCTGCCCCTGTGCTCCTCCAGCGGAGGGTGTCCTCTCTGTGGGCCCGGGCGCCTCTGACAGTCAAACAGGCTAGCCCAGGTTGGAATCAGAGCTTATTTGCTAAGTGATTTTCTACATGGAGAGCCCAGCCCATCCCTCCACCTCCGCGAGTTCATTTGCTCCTTACAGGTGCTGAGTGGAATAGTTCTGCTGTGTCTGCTGTCTTTAGATATGCGCCAGACGCCAGAGACGCATACTCAACTCTGGGTGGCTGAGGAGAGCTATCAACCAGACGTTCTGAACTCCTAATAAATGGTTTCTATCATTTAGATGATATCTAATATCTAATATTTTAGCTAAGATTGTAGAAAGCTCTACAAGTACCGTTCCTTTCATTTAAAACTCTTAAAGCCTTAGGGCCCGAGGAGACAACTCAGTTGGTAAAGTTCTTGCCCCTGAAGGACTAAAGGACCAGGAACTGAGTTTGATCTCCAGAGGCCAGTAGAAAGCTAAGCAAGCTGGTGAACGCTTGTAATCCCAGCGTGGGGGAGGTGGAGGATAGGTCCCTGAGGCTCCCTGGCAGGTTAGCCTAGCCTAGTTAGCAAGTTCCGGATCCCAGTGAGAGATCTCATCTCAAGGAACTGTGGACAGCTCTTGAGAACCAAATGGCACTGAAGGGTGATGTCTGACCTCCCCATGCATGGATAACCTTACACACATCAGTGCCAACACACACACGCGTGTGCGCATACACACACACACACACACACACACACACACACACACACACAAACACACGGGTGCTGAGAAGAGAAAGGAGAGAGGGAGAGAAATATTAGCTAAGAACACTTAGCTACCTTTTGTACCATCAACCCAGAGGAGCCAGGAAGGGAGCATCATAGAGCAGGACGTGTGCCATCCCACGGTTCCATGTCCCCCACCTTCCTTTCCTGCTGCGGTCCAGGGCCTCCTCACCTTTCTGCCGGGGTGTCATGCATTGTGCTGACAGTTCTGATCTCAGCAGGTGCTGCTAGTGACACCAGGCCTTTCGAGAAGTATCTCCTGTCCTAGGTGAGAGATGAATAATTTTTCCCTGTGAAATAACCTAATGTGAAAGAACTCTCTTCTGTTCCTTGACACAGCATGAACAAAGAACCAGGAATCCCTTTAAACTCAAGAGAAATGCATTTCATTGAAGTCATTTTTCCTTAGGATATTTTCTTGAAGATATTTTTCTTGAGATGTATTAGGGGCCTGAGAACACGTTCATAGGGCATGGTCCTTTGGTACTGTGCATTTTGGGGTCTTGCTCAGATTTATTTTGGTGTCATTTGCAGGTAGCCACGTCTGTCTGATTTTTGTGGGCTTTAAGTCTGGTAGGAAATAGGGAAAAATGAAATACATGAGTGTCTTTTATAATATTGCTCAAAAGTCCTTTTATCAGCTAGGTGTGGTTTGCACGCGCCTTTAATCCCAGCACCGGGAGACAGAAACAGGCAGATCTCTGTGAGTTACATGTAAGACCCTGTCTTTTTATAGCACTGCCCTGTGAATTCTCTGCCACGCACATTTGTACTTAGTTCCTTGTTTGGATTGTTTCACGAAGGGTCTGTGAGGAATGGAAGGGCTCTGTGGCCAGGCAGGGACTGTCTTGCCTGCTCCTTGTCTCCAGCCCCTGCCCATTGTAGCCATATCTGGCTCCCATCCCACATGCTGATCCCATGTCTCACGCGGATGCTCTCTTCCACAGGGGCAGACAATCTACAGATACATGTCACTCCAACCTCAGAGTCCATTCCTCTCGGGAAATTGTTTCCAATTTCACCAACATGGCCTTTTTTGGAAGTCAAGTCTTCCTCAGCAGCAGATAAAATCAAGAATGTTCTGGGACAGCCTCCTGACAATACAAGCTTGCTGCAGCTATCCCAGACACCTCTTCCCAAGGCACGCCACAAGACCGGGGCTCGTGTGGACTTCTCTTCGTCCCTTTACCAAGGAAGTGGACACAGCGCCTCCCCGGATCTTGCTAAGGACTCCATTGAGACTATGGTCCACCCCAGGCCTGGAGGGGAAAGAGAAGCAACAGCCATGTCAGGTTTGCCTCACACCAGCATGCTTTCCCCATTGCCTAGAACCCCGCCAGCCGTCTCGAGGGCTGCTTCCCCATCACAGCCTCTGGTGGGGACTCCCTCCCTTTCAAAGCATCCCTTGAGGTCAGACAGCCTTCCTCTTCTCCCTCCACCATCATCATCTTCATTGGTCCCTGATTCATCTCATTCCATCACTCCTAAGCCTATAGAGCACCCCACTAAAGTGCCTGTGTTCCCCCGAATCACACCAGCTGATTCCTCTTCAGGTCAGAACCCAGTTAACGTCCTAAAACCATTTTCTCACAAAACAAGCCCCTTTCCTTTCAGAAATGCCCAGACTTTCATTGGTACCCCTCCTCTAGACTTTTCTAGATCCTTAACAAAGCAGTACTCTGAGCTGGCCCCTTCCGGGATTCCCCGCTCAGCAGGTTCCCTGACTCCTGGGGCTCTGAGCTCCGCGGCAGAACTGTCTCTCCCTTCCGTAGCCCCTGGAGGCCTTTCAGGTGGAACCTCCTCGTGGCTCATGTTGGAAGAGCCCTCGAGTTCTGCTTCCACCCGGCCAGGCCCCACCGCGAGGGCTGTCAGAGGGCACAGCGGGGTATTATTGCCCATTAATCTGAGCACAGCAGCCGCAAGCTATGAGGCTTGGCCCCTGCATGTCCAGACTGCAGAGTCAGGGCCGAGCAGCAGAGAGCTAGCCCCTGTTCCTCCTGCAAATAGCGCCACCACCTGGCCACATCTGTCAGACGCTCCGGAGAATTCCAGGAAGCCCTCCCGCTCCCCAGAAAGCACCCCTTCCTCTTTCCTGCCTCCTCTCCCTCTCACTACACCCAGTCAAGAGCAAATGGTCCTTTCTGAGGCAGCTCCTGGATCACTACTGAAGGGGATGGGCGCCCCTCCCTCCCTGCTTACCATCCTCCAGCCCACTAGAGACCATGTCTCCCCAGACCCTGTGCCGGAGGCTTCCAGTCCCCAGGAAGATGGCCGTGGTGAATACCATCCTGATGTAGCCATACACCTCCTCTCCAGCAAACGTCCTAATCTTCCCCCTACAATCTGGACATTTCCTCAGCAAAAAGAGGACAGGGTTACAGCCGTTTGGGGGAAAAATGAAAAGGAAAATGGGAGAGTTCCTCTGTGGGCCCTTCTAACTAAAGAGGCATCAAGTGTTCATGCAGTGAGTGGATTCACCTCTGATTTTAACATAGGTCGAGTCTCGCCTCTCATCAAGACAACACTAAGAACAGACCTCTCTCCTTCAGGGTCACCTCCACCATCCATGCTTGCCTCACAAGCCTCTCAGGCAGGTTCTCCTCCCGGCTCTTCCAGCACCAAGCTGGAGACTCTCACAGCTGTGGCAAGCCCGTCTGCGCTGCCAGCTTCAGCTTCCGGACAGGTGCCAGCCCTTCCCTCCTCCCCCAATGTCTATGAGTTCCCAACAATGGAAGGCACGAGAAAGCCAGCAGCCACAGATGTTCTCTGGAGCTCTCTTGTTGCAGGAACTGCATCCCTCTCCACAGAATCGACAATATCTGGTTTGCCGTGGCAAACGGATCATGATTTAAACACTCACACAATTAGCTCCACAAGTTGGGAGCCTCCTCCACCTTCAGCGGCTCTTCCCAGCCGTCCAACTTCAGCTGCCAATGCGATACAACCTCAGAATTTCAAAGAGGCTGCTGGGCAGTTGGTGACTACAGACAGCTTTAACTTTCAGGATCTAGTTTTCAGTCAGAGTGGCGATCAGCCCCTCCAGTCATCGGAAGGGGCTGTAGTTGAAAGCCACACAGACCTCTGGCTCACAAGCAAGCATCCAGCGATAGCTGGTTATTACCCACCCACAGGTCAACATTCTATGTCGCAGCTGCCTCTCCGGCCAGCTCACCCTCTTTGGCCAACCTGGCCAAGCTTAGCTTCTGCAGCTAGCTTGCAGCAAATGCTTTCCGATGGAACAGACACAGACTCACAAGTTTCCAGTAACAGCTATCTGTCACCGGGAAAGAATGGCTCCCCACAATTCCAGAGTATCTTGGAATACCGTTCATCTACAGACTCCACTCCCATATCAACTGGTGCCTTTTCCAGGACCCCCTCCAAAGTGCTGCGAACTTCTCGGCGCCCCAAGACACGGACAGGTGCAGCCACTAATGCAGGTAGTTTGCTTCCTGGTACCCAGAAAACAGGTATGACTGCTTTTTCGGCCAAAGCATCTTCAAGCTCAACACAGATGCCCAGCTTTGCTTTGAAGCAGCCCGCCTCCCCTCGTTCTGTAGTGAGGTACAACTCCAGACAGGCATGCCGCTGATCCTCCCTGCCTACTTGAGTTTTGTGAAAGTATTCAGAATTTATGCCCTTGTTATCAACAACCATGGCTTTGCTGTACGTGGCATTCTCATTATGACTAATTGACTTAATGATCCTAAGGTTGTTTCCGCCTGAGATCTCCCCGCTGCAAGCCTGGAGCGTAGAGACATCTTAGCAAGCGCATAAGTTACATTGCTTCATGGTCAGGAGAGCGATGTGTGCGTCCCAGACCAATGACAAACTCTTCCTTTTCTCTCTTTGCAGTGGAAACCTCAGTGTCACCCAAGGGAGAACTGACAGCAACAGCTGCAGCCGCTGCCACCACCACACTGTTTCTGAGGAAGTCCAGCCCAGCCGCGTTGTCTGCAGCCCTCACTGCTAAGGGCACTGGCAGCAGTGGCAGTTTAGCCAAGAGTGGTCTGACCACAGCGCTAGCTAAAAATGTCACCAGCAAGGCAGCGTCCAGCCCAAAGGTGACAGCAGGGACAGTCCACACTGCCTTCCCATTCACACCCACCTACATGCTTGCCCGGACAGCACACAGCGTGAACACACATACAGCCACACAAGGGGCCACGGTCTCTGCTTCGGGCCTGTTGTCCACAACACACCTCCCCAAGAAACCACAAGCCATGCACACTGGCCTCCCCAATCCCACCAGGCCAGACACACCCAGAGCATCCACCGCCCGTCCGCTGACCATCACTGCTGCACTGACATCCGTTACAGCATCAGTAAAGGCCACGAGACTGCCATCTCTGCAGACAGGGAACACGGATGCTGCTTTTCCAGCTCTGTCTACTGCGGTAGTCACAACTGGCAGGATGGCGTCCAGTTTGGACTGTCAGATGTCCCACAGGCTCCTAGTGAAGACAGGTGAGAGGCCACAGTCTTACTGGTCTGGGGACATAGGGGCAATCCCGACCTCAGCGATTCGACAGAACGAGTTCTCTTAGATCAGTGCATGTCAATCAGGAATGCTCTCGGCCTCCCTCTCTGAGGTTTGACGATGTCTGGAGACATTTTGGTTGTCGCACTTTGGGAAGGGGTGTTGCCTGGAACCTGTGGGCACCTGGGATGATGCTGAGCATTTCACCATGCTCAGTCGGCACAATAAAGACTGTGGCTGGAGACAACACTCAGCTGGTAAGGTGCTTAACATGGTGACCTGAGCTGACCGCCTAGAACCCATGTTTTAAAAAAACTGGCTATGGTAGCTTATAACCCCAGAGTTCTGGGAAAGCAGAAATCGGCAGATTCCTGGAGCTCACTGACCAGTCTGTCAGTCTAGCCTACTTGATGAGCTACAGTGAGAGACCTTGTCTCAAAAAACAAGGTGGGTAGTACCTGAGGAATAACCCGAGGATATTCTCTGCCTTTCACATATAAGGACACACACACACACACACACACACACACACACACACACGGAACGGGGTGGGAAAAAGAGACAGACTAATCAGGATGTCAAGGTTGAGAAACCTTGACTCTCATCAAGTGTCAGAAAAGGGGAACTGTGGATGACACGTATTATAGCCCTAGGGTTGGTTCTGACCTCAGAAGTGCCCAGGGAAACCACAATTAGCCCAGTGGGTCAGGGAACTCCAGAACACAGCGTGTTTTGTCTGCGAAGTCTACCAGTGATGTCTCACATGAATAAATGATGTGAATCATTTAACACACAATCTTGGGAATCATTGTGCCATTCAGAAAGGTTTTCCTAATAGCGGACAGTTGAATCGCACGGGGGGTGGGGGCTGGGATTTCTTTTGATGTCAGTGGGGTTGATCTCTTCTCTGCCCAACTCCCTGGTTGCAGAAAGCAAGTCTAGAATATTTGGAGTGTTTTGAATAGTGCAGTAGTGTTTTCTATAAAAAGCGTTGGACAAATTATTTGAGAGAGCATGCCAGTGCTGAGTGCTCATTCCCGCCTTCCTCCTCGCCCCACAAAGAATGAGAGGAAATTATATCTTGAGACTTATCTTATTCTAAAATGGGAAATTGTGAAACTAGGCACAGCAGAAAATACAGTATCTCTTTCTGTTTCTCTGTTATGCCATCTGGATTCTTAACCCCTTCCCCTCTCCAGATCCCTGCCTTCTTCTTCCAGACCCCTCCCCGCAGAAACACCTCAGCTGCTCTCTTCCTCACCACCCCCCACCACCAGATCTTTCTAGTCTCACTAGAATAATAATCCCTTCTCTCTAGAATAGATAATCCCTTCTCTCCATCCCACCTCCCACTGCCACTACCTCGTGCCTGCTGTCACCGTCACTGCTACCCTATACACATTTCTCTCTTCAGACCTCAGCATGTAGTCAAAGGGGTCTTCTAGAACACATTTTAAATTCCTGTTTCCTCTCTCCCTTAGAATTAAGTTAAACACGTACACGGACAAGATTCACCCCCCCACACCAGCCTTTTCACTTGGCGCCCCTGGCTCTGGGAGTCGGGGTAAGGGGGAGGACAGTCCCTTCCTCTTGCTTAGCTGACCACCGTTACCCTTCAGTACTCGCAGAAGCATAATTCCCATGGAAACCTTCCCTGATCCCCACCCCTTCCAGAAGCCTTGGCAGAACTCTCATTTCCTTCCAATGGTGACAGTTCAATTCAGCTACAGATGCCACCTGCACCTGTGAAGTGGGCCTGTCCCTTCTGAATTCAGGGTTGATCAGAACGGTAGAACTCAGCTCAGGGCCAATCTCTAAGTAGCCATTACAGAAGTGTGGTTGCATGTTGACCCGCTGGGGGCCAGGAATAGAGGTTGCTGGTCCTCACAGTCAGAGGCGGAGTGAGCTGGCAACGATGCGCCATCAGCACACTAACTCTTGGGCATTAAGACCCCCAAAGCAGCTTGGGCCTTCATCAGACCAACAGTCACTCCCCAGCCTTCCCCTGATTGGTGGGCCTTTGCTGATTCAGCCGTGCTCTGGGTTAGGTGGATGTCGAGACTGGGGGGCTGACAGGTCACTGGGACGTTCATTAGTGACTCTGATTGCTGGGCCTCTGTTTCACCCCACAGTTTTCTTCCTAACTCAGAGGAGAGTGCAGAGCAGCGAATCCTTGAAGCTTGGTGTAACCAAAGGGCTCACGCAGGCCTTGCGGAAGGCTTTCCACCAGAATGATGTCTCGGCTCACGTAAGCTCCTTCCTTCCTAAGATGGCCAATTCAGACCACTCCCCCTCGGGTCCAGAGTGGTAGTAGGTGTTTTCCTCCTTCCTAGATGCCACGCCCACACTTGCTGGAATTGGAAGTTTTTGACATTTTTGGCAGATAGCTAACATATGTGACTGGGAAAAAAGGGCTTGAGACTAATTATCTTTATTACCTTTATATTTTTAAAAATTGTCCCATCATTGGAGGAGTGTTTGGTATCCTCTAGAAGCGATCGATCCATTGTTGCTTTGTCTTTTGTTCTGTCTGTTTATCTTCTGCACAATTATAAATAGTGATTTATTTCTGAACATTTAACAGGTATAATAAAGTCAGGTAGATATTGCATGCTTATACTCCCAGAACGTGAGAGGCTGAGAAACAGGAGGATTTACCCAAGTTTGAGGCTACCCTGGGCTACAGATTAAGACTGTCTCGAAAACCCAAACCCAAACCACTACTACGAACAACAAAAGCCCTAATTACTCAGATCTGGAAGAGGAGTTCCACTTTGTTTGGCATGCCAGCCGCAGACAGGGAAGTAAACATTTTTCCCTCCAAACGCTTTTGTGCCAAGTACTGCTTAATAACTGCTGGCTGGCTTCAGTGGCACAGCCAAGCAGCAGAGGCATTGTTTTACAGTTTTGGGTTGATCCCAAGTGTTAGGGCAGTAAATGCAACTGGCAGCCAGTGGGCTCCCTTTTGTATGACTTAAACATATCATTCCGGCGTCCTCCTTTGATGGCCTGGGTAACAGCTGCTTTCAGAGTCGTCCCCCACACACATAATACACGGGATCAGGGTGAGATTGTGGCACATCCTCTTTTGGTCACTGTCAATCTCTCTTACAATTCTGGAAAAAAAAAGAAATCGGGAGGAAGCAAGAAGGGAGAGAAGGAGGGAAAAACACTGGAAACCTTAAAACTTTCAAACCCAAAAGCTGAGCATGGAGCTGCTCTCCTCCGCTTGCCTGGCGTGGCTTTCGCTGAGAGGCAATCATTTTCTAAGGGCCTCCGCAGCTTCTGCTCCTTCTGCACATCACGGAGGGACCACTGCAACAGTTTCTAGTCTCTGAAAGTAATTGGTCCACTCTGTAAACTTAACACACAGTTTTATACCAGCACAATGAATGTAAATCAGGATCACTTTCCATGAATAAAAGGTAGTGGCAAATGTAGCACAAATTCTAATTGGTCTTAATAAAAACACAGAATCAGATATTGGGGTAAATGCTCAAAGATCGGAGAAGTAAAGGAGCCAGCCGCTAGAGAGACTTTTTTACCTTTACTGAATCTTCAGACCGAAGCGGGCAAGATCCTGTCTCCAGGAATCCTCAGACTGAATGGGTTATCCTGTCTTTACAAGTCCTCAGTCTGAATGCCTTGAGCTCCTCTCTCCTCCTGCCTTATATTCCTCTCTCCACCCAGCCATGTCCCTTCCTGTCTCCACTTCCCTAGTGTTGGGATTAAAGGTGTGTGACTCCCAAGTACTGGGATTAAAGGTGTGAGTCACTACCACCTGGCTCTATTTCTCTTTGAGACTGGAGCAATCTAGTGTAGCCCAAGGTGGCCTTGAACTACAGAGATCTGTCTATACCTCTGCCTTCCGAGTGCTGGGATTAAAAGTGTGCACCACCACTGACTGGCCTCTATGACTAACTAATGACTTGCTCCACACTCTGCTCCTCGGGAAAGTTTAGAGATGGCTCAGAGGTTAAGAGCATTGCCTGCTCTTCCAAAGGTCCTGAGTTCAATTCCCAGCAACCACATGGTGGCTCACAACCATCTGTAATGGGGTCTGGTGCCCTCTTCTGGCCTTCAGGCATACACACCGACAGAATATTGTATATATAATAAATAAATAAATATTTAAAAACAAACAAACAAAAAACAAAATCTCACCACAGGCAAAAATGAGACTAGTGGGCACAAATAGTTCCAGCCAGCCTAACTGGCTGAGGGGCAGAGCCTGGCGTCACTTTGCTCAGTTATTGATTCGTTCGTTCATTCATTTGTTTTTAAAAACATACAGGGGTTATAAATGTATGAAAACCAAATAGTCCCCGAAACAAGGCTTGCTCTTTGAAGTAATTAGAAGGGCTGGGAAGTTCACACCATGCTCACTGTCTTATCAAAGAAACTGCCTTGGCTTTTGATAAGATGTTGTTCCTTGGGGCTGTGTTCATGGGCCATCTTGAAGCTCCTTGGTTAGTCATTTTTATAAAGAACCATCGAGAACACACTTTAGCAGGACCAGATTGCATCCATCATGTTGCAAACTCAGTTTTCTTGAGTTCTTTGAAAAATGTTTGTGACTTGGGGCCTTGTGCTAATGGTTTGCTCCTGACCTGTCTCCCCAGCCGGAATGGGAAAGTATGATGTAGGAGGGTCATCTGTCTATTTGTTACTTTCATTGGTTAATAAAGAAACTGCCTTGGCTTTTGATAAGACAGCAGCTTAAACAGGCGGAATAGACAGAACAGAATGGTGGGAAGAAGGCAATGAGGCAGACGCCATGCTTTTCCTGCCCAAGATGGACATGGGTTAGAATCCTCCTGGTAAGCCACCACCTCATGGTGCCATAGATTATTAGATATGGGTAGGTCAGGATGTGAGAGTTAGCCAATAAGAGGCTAGAACTAATGGGCCAGGCAGTGTTTGAAAGAATACAGTTTCCGTGTAATTGTTTCGGGTAAAGCTAGCCAGGCAGCCAGGAGCTGAGTGGCGGGAAGTGGCCCGCTGCTTCTTTTTTTACAAAACTATGCAGGGGTTAAGATAGCCTGACACACAGCATGCAGTCCATGGGAGAGTGGTGGGGACACTAGTCACATCCATAATCTGGGTGTTGAAAGTATCAGTGAACAGAGCATGTAAGGCATGGTTTAGACAGTAGATTGTATGAGATCTGGGTTTTGCCACAATACAAAGAATAAGGGAAGCTGGGGATCTGCTCAGAAGTAGAGCTTTTGTCTACTGTGTACAAAGTCCTAGGTTCAATCTCCAGCAAGACACACACACATATACATATTAACACACACACACACAAACATATGCACATGTATGTACACATAGACAGACACACATATGTACAGACACAAACATATACTCACTCAGGCATAGAGAAAAGTGAAGAGATTATGCAGCAGGATCTACCCTGTATACATATAAGTATATGAATGTGTATGTTTTTATATTTCTTTACATACACACACACACATATATATACACATACACAAAAATGTGTATCCCCAGGCAAAAATGATTGACAGGCAATCCATCGAGCAGGTAGTGGTAGTAATACCTGAGGCAATTACCATTTTCTCTCTTAATTTTCCAAAATTCCAATTTTATGATAAACATCACAATTAATATATTAAAAGCAAAAACCCACACATAAAACTGTAAACATACAACAACATCAACAAAGCAAACTGCAGTAAGAATAAGCTCTAAAGCTTCGAAATCCTCCCACTGGGACAGAGAGGGCTTAGGTCGTCAATATCCCTTAAGACTCATCGGGAGAGACGGCCTCTGATTCATCCCCCACCTTGGCCATGAACCAGTATCTAAGCCAGGGAAGGAGTCAAGCCTGAAGGCTTCCTCTCTGTTTCAAGGCAGAAGGTTCTACCTTAGATACCTTGTCGCCCATCCTCAGCACGTGCCCTACCTCAGTCACCGTCTCTGCCTTTTCCCTCCCAGGAAGAGTGAGATGTCTTAACTTTTTTGCTAAGCAGCATTCTGCTTCTTAGATGTCTCTTCTGCCTCCTGGTGATAGAATTAGTGCCCAGCGGATCTGACTCAAAATACTTAAGGAATCCAAAACCAGATTCAACTGTATCTTATGTCGGTTTGATGTGGGTTTTATTTTGTTGTGTTGCCATACTTTGGAACTCATGTGTGCACTTTACAGAGTTGTTGGGATATTTGTTCAATGAGCACATCATAGTCTATAGTCTTACTAAGTAAGAGCTGTGACTCTAAGAACGCAAAGAAGAACTTAAAGTACTATGGGAATAAACAGTGCATTCTGGGGTCCATTTGTTTCATAGGTGGACATCCTGGAATATTCTCATAACGTCACCGTTGGCTACTATGCTACCAAAGGCAGGCTGGTGTACTTGCCTGCTGTGGTGATGGACATGCTGGGTGTGTATGGAGTCAGCAACGTCACTGCCGACCTGAAGCAACACACTCCCTCCTTACAGTCTGTGGCGGTGCTTGCCTCCCCATGGAAGCCCCAGCCTGCAGGTGCCTTCCAGCTAAAGACAGGTAAGTCCCATCATCCAGGACCAGACAAGCAGAGCACGGTCTAGAGTCCCACTGATAGCTGCTTGTCAGCATCCATAGTCCTTGTACATTCAAGCTTCCCTGCTCATCAGATATCAAGTTCCCCACTTCAAAACACCCGTAATTCTGACCTTCTTGGACATCTTCCACCCTAGAGACTATTCCTCCCAATCCATATACTTAGTGTGTTGCAACACAGAATACCTTTCTCACAGTGGCTACTGCTCTGAGTTGAGCCCCTATAAAACCTATAGTCTGGAACTACCAGGTTCTGTTAGTGATATAGTCTCCCAGCAAAGACTTTGACCGCTTTCTCTCAAATTCTCTTGTGTGGTTGCTGGTTTGCAAAGTCTGCGAAGCACACGTATGGCGGTACCATGGTGATGGAGACCATCAGCTTAGCATGGAGGATGGTGATCATCCGCAGGCACAGAAACCGAGGGCACTGGTGGTGGGTTTTGAGCAGATGTCTGCAGTCTCATGGGATAAAGTCATGGCATCCTCTGTGCTGGAGAGCACTTGGGGCTCATTCATGCTTTTAATTATTCCCTGCTATAAATCATCGTAGGAGCTCCCTTCAAAACTGTAATTAAAGCCTGTCTGGTCTTACTGTTTATTTGCCTAGTTTCTGTAACCTAAAAGTCATGCTGTTTTGTATCACGACGGCTATCAAACCTGAGGAGCTCAGGCAGAGCGTTGGTGCGTGGTGGTGACTGCGGTTCTTCTTCTAGTGTTGCAGTTTGTAAGCCAGTCGGACAACATTCAGTCCTGCAAGTTTGCCCAGACGATGGAGCAGAGGCTGCAGAAGGCATTCCAGGATGCAGAGAGGAAAGTCCTTAACAGCAGGAGCAACCTGACGCTTCAGGTAAGGAGGAGAGACTTCAGGCTGCACAGAAGACAGACAGCCGTAATGCAGATATTGCCCCTCCCCCGTTTAAAAGCTTTCATGGCCAAATGTAAGTTCGTCCTTTTGGCAGGTGATATAGACAGCCATGGCATTGGTGAGGGTGACTGAGGTCTGGCTATGACAGGTAGGATTCCATGTCACTGTGAACCTACCATGATTCAGGGATTAATATTTGGTTTTTGTATGCAATACTTTCTCTGGCCTGCCTTTTTTTCCTTCCTTCCTTCCTTCCTTTAGAGATTTATTTATTTATTACGTATACAGTGTTCTGTCTGCATGTATGCCTACACACCAGAAGAGAGCATAGGATCTCATTACAGATGGTTGTGGGCTGCCATGTAGTTGCTGGGAGTTGAACTCAGGACCTTTGGAAGAACCATCTCTCCAACCCTCCTCTAGCCTTTTAATGGGTTTATCATTAAAGAATTGAGCCTGAATATACTTTATAAGGTGAATCAATTTTCTCATATTAAAATGAGTTTAACTTTTTACATTATTTGTGTGTGTGTGTGTGTGTGTGTGTGTGTGAGAGAGAGAGAGAGAGAGAGAGAGAGAGAGAGAGAGAGAGAGAATGTGTACACGCATGTGTGCATGTGTTCGGAGGGCACATGTTACCGAGCCAATGTGGAGTTCAGAGAACAACTTGTGAGAAGAGTTTTCTTCTTCCAACATGTAGGTCCCAGGGATTGAATGCAGGTCCCCACGCTTGTTGGCAGGTGCCTTTATCTCCTGAACCACCTGGAGCCAGGGAATAGATCTTTAGATCACTAACTCTGTTGTGATTTTCCACGATTAGCTGCCGTGTGATTTTCAGTGGGCTATTTCCAATCGTCAACATAAATGAACATCACACGCAAACAAAAGAACCCCCAGCAACACAGCCACATCTCTGTCAGCAGGGGCCTACTCTCTGCCAGCAGCAGTACTGAGCGTCCTACAGATATTTTCTGTGTGTGATCAAGACATTCTCTGAGATGTCATCTCCACTGTGTTCATGTGAGAACCGAGAGAAGGATTTGAAACTCCCGAAAGGTCACATGGTTGGGAAAGAATCAAGTAAAGATGTGAGCCCAAACTGTCTTCTTATCCACCAAGCTGCCCCAGCATGGACAGTTTGGGGAGGAAGTCCCGAGTCCTCGGGAAGCACATCTTTCCCAGGGAAATCCAGTTCCTGGTACACCGTATATTTGGCTTCCTGGCTAACAGTGTGAACACCACTAAAAGCCTTTTTCAGACCCATTTTTGTGTGTGTAATTACGTAGATAACATCTCAGTGAGGATAGATGCTTCTTAATGATATTCATCCATCCCCAAAGTCTCTAATTAATGCCACTGTTCTGTGTCTGTTTTGACTACTGAACTAAAGCCTTTGCAATTAGACACAGGGCTTTTGAAATTGACATTTAGCATTAAGTGTGTTTCCAGTAAAGCCAATACGATGTAGAAAGCGCACGATCTAATTTGAAGGAGCGGCTTTTCCTTTTCTAGACTTGGGCAAATGGATCAGGGAGGATCTCATTGCAACTCGACTCTTATTAGTCTAAGATCGAAAAGTGTGTCACAGATTTAAGATTTATGTAAGCAGTATGACTCGGGTCCTGTGGGAGATCCTTTTCTTCGGGGTTGGCTCTGTGGTCCTTACAGGTGTGTGAACCTAAGCGGTGCTTGGCAACAGAATATGTGTTAAGAGAGTTCTTGAGTTCCTGCTGTTTATTAGATGCTTCAAGATCAGATACCAAGATAAATAAGTTGCCCTTGGTCTTCAGCCTGTCTCTGTTGTGTGCTGGTTATGGGTCATCAGATGAAACATAAGCCACAAAGCTTCCTTGGAAAAGACAACAGCAGGTGACTTGACCATTGCGTCTAGCTAGATTTGAGCTACTCTCTGACATGTTGGAAGCCTTTGAAATTGATCGAGTAAATCATTTTATTAATTCCAATTCACATTTGGCCTTGGCCAATACAAAGTATCAGAATCAGGTTTGTCATTGGATTTAACACGCCTTCTTGGTCCCTGTATCATTCACAGGTAACTGCACGCTGGCTGCCTTCCTGGGATCATGATAATATGTCTTCCAAATTGGTGTTTTTGTAACACTTTTCCATCCCATTCTATTAAATATAATTTGTATGGTAGTTTGAATCCTTTGTGGAAATAAAAAGCTATAAATATCAGAGGCATTGAAAAAGGGACTAAAAGAACACACAGCATTAGGAGCTAGATTACAGTTGACTCAATGAGGGTTGTAACAGAATCCAGGCTTATGAGACGTAAGCTGAAAGAGGCAGTGATGGATTCATTCCACCCAAAAGTTCACATCTCAGTGACTGGAGGCACAACCGGATCCAGGCGCATCGGCGTTCTCTTCAGGACGTTCTCTGTTCATCTCTCGGCTTGCTTTCCTCCAGATCCCTCCTCCTCTTCCCCCTTCTTCTGTTAAGGTTTGTTTTATTCTGCCATCTATCTGTTTCGCCTACTGTATGTATTCTGTGAGTCCCATGCATAGAGTGCCCAGGGAGGCCAGACAAGGCAGTCTGCTCTTCTAGAACTTGAGTTACAGATGGCTGTGAGATACCTCGGGGGTGCTTGGGAAATGCACCCAGGCCCTCTGGAAGAATGACAAGTGCTCTTGACTGCTGGGCTGTCTCTCTGGCCCCAGCACACTTCTTCCCTCTACTGAGTGGTCCTTGGTGTTTCCATATTTGCCTATTCCTATTGCTTATTGTCTTGTGGAACCAAAGAGCCCTTTTTTTGGACATCATTTTAATCCAGACCTTTGGTCCTGCTCTCATTGGTCCTTCTGTGCCTCTTCTGGGTTGATAACTGTGACCAAGGAGATGAAGTATCCTGATCAGTGTCTGAAACAAATGCCTACTTCTGAACATGGGAAGTGACAGCTGTACCGAAAGCACATGAACAAAGTGGAGAAGGGAGGTGGCTTTCCAGGGATCATGGTGCCACTGTCATAGAAGGGAAAAGATGCTAGGAACATTAGGCCTGTGGCCTAATGAGCTCGTGGACCAGAAAGAGTGGATGAGAAGAGATGAGGTCAAAGGCTTTCTAAAATGACATGACTGAGTTCATTAAAGAAGATCTAGAGGCATGGAAGCAGAGCTATGTTCATGCTTGGGAAACCTTAAGCTATAAGAATCTCAATATTCACCAATGGGGATTGTAGATTGAATGTGATCCCTGCAGAAATCCCATTCTGGAGAAAGAGACGGGAGTGATGCAGATGCAAGGGCAGACTGACTAGCTTGCATAGCAAGTTCAAGACCAGTCAGAGGTACACATTCCTGTCTCAAAAACCAGTGGTATGGGGGACCTAGAGCAATGGCTCGACTGTTGAGAATGTTTGCTGATCTTGCAGAAGACCTGAGTTCAGTGACTAACTAGTACCACACCAGGCAGTTCACAGGCACCGTAACTCCAGAACCAGGGATTCTGACACACTCTTCTGACCTTCATGGGTACCTACACACACACACACACACACACACACACACACATACACACACACCAATCCCAGTGATGTTTTTAAAGACAGAAATAGATAAATATATCCTGAAGTTTGAGTAGTCCCTCAAAAAGACCTTGAAGAACAAAAACAGTCTTGACAGAGGACAAATTTTCTAAGTTTTGCACTTCCTTTTTTCAAAAATTAATTTAAAAAACTATGATAACTGTATTAGTGTGGTCTCAACTTTATGACAGACACAGAGATCAATGGCCTAGATAGAGAGGCCAGGAACAAGTCCACTGTTTTTATCAAAGTTGGTCTATGGTGAAAGGGATGATCTTTTTAATAATGAATATACACGTTGCAAAAGGAGGAAGCTGGAGCTACCTAACATTATCAACCCAAATCGTCTCAAAGTTGATCAAACACCTACACGTAAGAACTAAAGTCGAAGGGCTCAGAGCAGAGAGGAACGATTTCATGGGCCTGGGTGTCTTAGATACTACTGGAAAATCTCAAATCCCAGAGAAACAAACCAGTTGGACAGCCTTGAAATTAAGAACTTTGCCCATCAACAGACACTAATAACAGGGTAAAAGATCACCTGCAGAATTACGAATCTTCTATCTGATAAGTGATTCATATCCAGAACTTAAAGAAATGGGAAGGATTCCTTCTATGTATCAGCTAAACGAAAGTTAACAGCTCAAGAAGGCTAGGATGAGTGTCGTTGTCTTTTCCCAGCATGCATTGTGCCCTGGGTTGGAGCTGTGTCATCACAAGGAGAGCAGCAGACACAGAGAGGTGGGAGAAAAAGGCTTTGACCTAATAATCATGAGACACCTTTCATGTTTGTTAGGATGATCATTCTCAAAAACCAAACAAAACCTAGAAAATAGAAAATAGTAAGTGTTGGTGAGGATATGGGGATGTTAGAGTCCTTGTATTCTTCCAGAGGGATGTGCAATGGACAGCCACTCTGGAAAATAGTACCATGGCCCCTCAACATCCTAAACATGCAGTTACAGCATGGTCCAGTAACCCCATGTCCATCTACATATCAAAAAGAATTAAAGATAGGATCTAGGAAGTAAAATAGGTATTTGTACAGTATTCACAATGGCCAAAAGCCCAAAGTGAACCAAGTGTCTATCAAATGAATATGTGAAAAATAAATGAAGTCTATACATGTGCAGGAGTGTTACTAAGCCTTCAATCAAGAAGGCCATTCCTGGGCTGGAGAGATGGCTCAGAGGTTAGAAGCGCTGCCTGCTCTTTCAGAGGTCCTGAGTTCAATTCCCAGCAACCATATGGTGGCTCACAACCATCTAGAATGAGATCTGGTGCCCTCTTCTGGTCTGGTGGCATACATGCAGATACTGTATACAAAATAAATAAATAAATCTTTAAAAGAAAGAAAGAAAGGAAGGAAAGAAGGAAGGAAGGAAGGAAGGAAGGAAGGAAGGAAAGAAAGAAAGAAAGAAAGAAAGAAAGAAAGAAAGAAAGAAAGAAAGAAAGAAAGAGCCATTCCAGTCCTCTTGCAGCTTGGGTGGTGTTGAGGTCTTTGTGCAAAGGGAAGTAAACCTGTCTCAGAAGAAAACTCTAGTGCGATTTCTCTTCTACCAGATATCTGGAGCTGTGGAATAATCAGTAATCTTACTTTAAGAGCAACCTTGTAGTAAGAATATAGAGAAACTGAGAATTGTTTGGTGGAAGTAGAGCTACACTTGGGGGCAGTGAGGATGTTCAGAAGATGGCGTTGGTGATGGTTGGCAAAAATGAGAATCTACTTAATGCTGAAAATGTTAGAATGTCAAATTCTGTGATTTATATATTTTACCACAACAAAAAGGTATAACTTTATGGACTTTTTGGAGGTCCAGGGATATTTAGTGCTATTTATTGAAAGATGACAACTATTCAATAAATTCTCACCATCACAATAGCAATAAAGGTTAATTAGTTTTATTATTTGATTATTTATTTATTTGTGGAATGTGGTGTGTGTGTGTGTGTGTGTGTGTGTGTGTGTGTGTGTGTGTGTGTATGTGTATGCATACCTGTGGGTGCCATAAGAGGCCAGAAGAGGGTATTGGATTCCCCAGAACTGGAGTTACAGGTGGTTGTGAGTCACCTGATCTGGGTGCTGCCCATCAAACTCAGGTCCTCTGAAAGAGAACCAAGTGCTTTTAGCACTTAGCCACTGAGCCATCTCTCCAGTTCTCAGGGAACTTGTTTAAATCATGAGAAAGTTTTGTGTGTGTGTGTGTGTGTGTGTGTGTGTGTGTGTGTGTGTTTTGTTTGTTTGTTTGTTTGTTTTCTTACACCCGGGACAGAGGTCTGAATACCTGTAGCTGAAACACATTCCAGAATTACTTTCTGGTAGGAGAACAAGAGCTGAGCAGCAATGTTGGCTGGGTTATCCTTGACAAGGGGTTATGACTCTTGGTTGGAGAACTGAGAGATGTTTGCCACATGTGGGAAAAACAGACAACAAAGTACAGACGCTAATCTGAGCAGCTTTCTTCTGAGTCGGGGCAGAGAGCAAAGCTGTAGAGATGATGCCTAGGCAAGCCTGGTGGCTGTCAGTCCCCAGATATGTAAGACAGTCCTCAAAAGAAACTTGCGAGTTCCATAAAGGCATCTCAGCTGAACGTGCAGGCAGGGACAGCCTAGTATCCAGGTTATGCCTGGGCCCTGATGCCCACTGGGAGGGTGACTGGCATTAATACCCTACCCTTCCTTCCTCTCTCCCATGTCTACTCAGCCCCCTTTAACTAACACCAGTGGACAAAGAAACCCTGGTGGAACCTGCGGGATCCCTTTGTGCCATACAGGGCAATGGCCAGGAGATCTGGAGAGAAAGGGCAGACACACGCACATTGCCCAGCAAAAGCATCTTGCCCAGCCAGTGATTTTTTTTCCCCTGCTCGTGTTTTTCAAATGTTCGAGATATTTTTATCCGTACATTGACCCAGAAAATCTCATTTTTCCCTAGCAACTAAAAATGACATAAGACTGAGTATGAGGAGAAACCCATGTTATCTTAGAGAACTTCTTTCTCATACTCCATACCAAATTAATGGCTCACAGAAGGAAGTCATTGTGCCATGAAGGATCTGTTTTGTATTTCTGAATTCCTGTTATGCTCCTATTCCGTCACCCCACTCATAACAACCTGAAAGGTCCCTGAACATTTGGCAGTCGGGCCATCTTCCTGTACCCCCATGCTCTGCTTTATAGCTCCAGAATTATAGTGGTCACTGAGTCAGCTTAACCCCTGGAAAAGACACACGAGTGATTAAGAGCCAGAAATCAAGATTGCTTGGGTTCAAATCCTGACTCTGTCGTGCATGAGCTGTATGACCTCAGACAAATCCCGGTCACGCCAGGCCGTGGTTTCCACATGTGTGAAAGGCAATCATAAATAGATAGTCCTTGCAGGGTTAGAACAGGGTGGAGATGTGTACCCCCATAGCCCAGTGCCTGCCATGATCCACATCTGTAAACAACGACTTACTATTCTTTTTTTCCTCTTTGCTGTCTCCCCACTGCCCTTCCATGGCAACCCACAACTTCTGTTGGACGGTCCCTTCCTCGGCCTCTATGACACAGACCCTCACCTTATTTGGCATGTCTCCTTCCCTTTTGCTCCTGTGTCATTCAGATCGTGAGCACGTCCAATGCCTCCCAAGCCGTCACCCTGGTGTACGCTGTGGGCAATCAGAGCTCCTTCCTCAACGGCACCGTGGCCAGCAGCCTCCTTAGCCAGCTCTCTGCGGAGCTGGTAGGGTTCTACCTCACTTACCCTCCGCTCACCATCGCTGAACGTGAGTACGTGCGCCTCAGCCTCATGTAGAAGGGCCTTGGGTTTCCCCTGGAGGTGTTCTCTTGTGCTACACTGCATACTGTGTGTATTATCTTGAGCAACTGAAAAATGCAACACATGGGGGTTAAATTGTCAAAAAGATCATTGCACACTGCAAGAGAGCCCTTGCTTGATGCTTACAATGAGCCTATGAGGTGGGTGCGAAACTAGGAGAAAAAAAATTGAAGCTCCCTCCTCCCAGTTTTCATAGGACATCCACTCTCCCACAGCTAACAAGGCTGTGTGGGGACCTGTGCTCCGAGCGTTGCCTTCCAGGGCATCTGTCCTTAGGAACAGTCCTGGTTGCCATGGTTTCCTTTCCCCTCCACAAATGTTCCTAGACCTTTCCGTCCAGCTGACTACAGGCAGCAGAATGCAAACTTTGCAATCTGTGTCGTGACTTCACTTGAAGTCCCCATAGTCTGAGTCCTTGGCTCTCGGTAACGCTTGTTACATAATCCTCATTGCTATGCAGTCAAGTGGACTTTGAAGACAGACAAAGTCTGTCTTCAGCCCGCCTTTTGTCACTAGACATTTGCTGGGTAACTAAAGGAAGTGACGCTCTGTACCCTACATTTAATTATTATATTTCACAAGGTCACTGGCAAAGATTTCGTTTTAAAATATACCCATTAGCAAAAGTGTTCTGTAATTTCTTTCTGTAGTTGTTTTGAAATTATAAATAAATGAGATTGCATGCACATGTACGTGAACGTGTGTGCGTGTGTATGTGTGTCAAAGGTATACTTGTCACTTAGCAACCACTGAGAAGTTTTTAACGTGTTTATTGGAAAGATCTTATCAACTTTCAGGCAGTAAGGATGACTCTGAACTCATAAAAAGATTATGCCACGAAAGATGACGGTAGGATGTCACAGGGCAGCAGGAGTTACCTTCTTTAACAAACTCAGTATTCTAATAATAATCAGTTAAGTTGAACTGGAGTGGTAAGGACTTGGGAATTGGCTCAGTTGCTGAAGTGCTTGCTATGCAAGCCTGAAAATCTGAGTTTTAGCTCAGTACCCACATTTGAAGAAAAAAAAATCCTGATGAGGTGCTCACAACTGTAACACTAGTGCTGAGAGACTGGCCCAGGACAGTCAGGCTAGCCAAATCAACAAGCTCATGGTTCAGTGAGAGATCCTGTCTCAGAAAATAAAATGGGAAGCAAATTAGAAAGACACTTGCCATCCTCCTCCGGCTTAAACATGCATGTGTACACTTACACACACACAAAAGTTCTACTGAGCACTGACTGTATGTGAGCCCCTGTACTGTGCCCTCTACATGTGTGGATTCTCATAGTGAGCATGCTGGTAAAGCAGGCGATAACTTTCAGTACCACATGTAAGCCCGCAATGCCAGAAAGACCCGTGAAGAGATCTCCACTCCTTAGACCTGCATGGTGCTAGATGACCTATTCAGAGGAAGCCCCAGCTAAGGCAGCTGCAACTGTGGTTGCTGATGGCCATGGTGTTCCATGTAAGAAGGCTTGGAGGGAAAACTTCACAGAGAGAAACTCCTGAATCTGAGCCCCTTGGAGGGGTTGTCCCCCACTGAGTCACCTTTCTATACAATAAAATACTTTGACCTGTGTGCAATAGATTTCTCAGAAACAGCAGTGTGGGACCCAGCTGCTTTCCAGCTCGTCACTTCCGTGTTCCCCTTGATAATGCTCACTCATGCAGCCTATCAAAGAGAGCCGATGTGTGTTTTATCTGTTTCAGCACTGGAATATCCCAACCTTGATATCTCAGAAACAACCAGAGACTACTGGGTCATCACAGGTAACATCTGATTTCTGTGTGTCCCTCTCTGTATCATCGGGGTTGGTTTGTCTAAAACGGGTGCCATTTTGTGACAGGACCAACATCTTTGGTCCTCCCCTATAAATCAAGGAGTTCCTTCTATCGGACTGGAAGGGAGTGGGGAAGCTGAGAAAAAAACACCCTGAAGATGATTACTGATAAATAATTCAAAACTGCTACCTCAATGGTCCCATCCTCAGCCTATCTCATGGCAACACCAGTGGGTGACCGTCTGGGGCACGCCTGTGTGGGTGGCCGTCTGGGGCACGTCTGTGTGGGTGGCCATCTGGGGCACGCCTGTGTGGGTGGCCGTCTGGGGCACGTCTGTGTGGGTGGACGTCTAGGGCACGCCTGTGTGGGTGGCCGTCTGGGGCACGCCTGTGTGGATGGCCGTCTGGGGCACGCCTGTGTGGGTGGCAGTCTGGGGCACGTCTGTGTGGGTGTTAGTCTGTCCTGCAAAACCCAAATCAAAGCCAGAGGAGGGCCATATATGCGCTGCTCCTTCTCGGGGCACATGACGCACCCACGTCAATCCTGATGTGCTCTGCAGATGAGGTCCAGTGGGAGTCGAAGAGCAGGAGTGTCCTGGTAGCATTTTTTTTAATCTCTTGACATTTCACAGCTGAACATTATGAACCAGTAAAAACATTCTGTTTGTGTTGTTCAAGTCTCCCAGTGCCTCTAAAATGAGAGAAGCAGCATTATTGAGCAAATGGAGAGGACAGCTGTTGGTAGGAGGAAAGTGACCAGCCAGCCATCAGAGTGTAGACAGTTGAAAGTTACATTCTCGATGGTCTGCAAGTCTGAGATCAAGGCTCCAATAATAGTTTTGCATCTTCCTCCCATCCTCTTGACGTGAAGTTGGTCACCTTCCCCGTTTGTCTCTGCTAGTTCTTCCCTGAGCCTGTCTGTCCTGATTTCCTTTTCTTAGAAGGACACCAGACACATTGGATGATGGCCCATGTTCGTGACCTCATTTTAATTTCATTACCCCTACAAAGATCCTCTGCCCAAATACTATCACCCTCTGACATGCTGGGGGTTGGGACTTGCACATGTGAACTGGGGGAACATAGTCTAGCCCTTCAATGAGGAGGTAGGAAGCTCCTTCAAGACTTGGAAATGTGCTTAGGGGAGCAGCTGCCCCGAGCTCCCTTCCCTCATCCATCCTTCCCTCACTGCTGTCCCAAGCACGTGGCAGGTGGGCTGTTGTCTAAAGTTCCATCCAAGGAGTTCCCACCCTGCTGTGTGATGCCTGCCTAGGCCCTCTTCTCAAGGACACATTGCCCACGTGCCCCCACTGCAATCTTTGGTATGCAGAGGCCATTTGAACTGCTAAGAAGGCAAACTAAAGAAGCGTATTTTTAACAAATTAGAAACAGCTCTACCAGGATGCAAACCCCAGAGAGGCCATGCTAACCCAGCAACGCATGTCTGAGCCAGCGGGTTACATAACGCTACAAAATCACGAGTCCTCCTCAAGCAATGGTGCCTCTTCCTTCACAGATGTTCCCCCTTCTCTGAACTTTAAAGTTTACACTCAATGATCATAATCCATTCTTAAGCACAGGCTGCCCTTGACAGCCACCGGTGGGACCCCCCCCCCACCTGCCATGCCTTGCTGTGCCTTTGTTTGGGTGGCATTATCTTAAGGGAAGCTATGCACAAGGTCTTTTTTCTGGGCTCGCCTGGGACTTAACTTTTCATACTCACTTATGTAACTTCCTTCCTCATTGCTGTTGTTGGCATTGTAGTTGGTGATCTAAACAGGATTGCCTAATTGTTTAGGCAATCTAAACAATTTAGGTGATCTAAACTGTCTCTCAGCTGGTGGCATCGATCAGTTAGTACTTGTGAGGAACTGGAGCCATGCTATGGCATGACCCTCTTGCCTTCCATATGAACCATGACCACTTTACAAACTTCTGGGAAGCCTGTGCTAGCTTGCCCTATCATAAAAGAAAGGGCTGATGACCGGGAGCCAGCAATGAGGGTCTTTGCTCGGCCTTGGCCCCCAGACCATCACCACAAGCCCTGTCCTTTTCAATTTGCAGCAACTCCCCCTTTCTGTAGTTCCTATTGCAAGCTCTACTTGCTCTTGTCTGTTTTACAGCTGAACTTACATGGACAATGTTGTTCGTTTTCCCCTCTTGCAGAGGGTCCTTCTTTGTTGGAAAATCGGCAGCGATGGGTGACCTCTGCAATTTCTTTTTACAGAGAACCTACAGGCTGTCCTACTATCTGAGGATCCTGCAATTGGTTCTATAGAAGTAAACAAGATAAAGATACCCAGATATTGGTGACTATGGCTTGAAGATATAGTTTAGTCAGTAAAGTGTTTGCCATGCAGGTATGAGGGCCGGGGCTAGACTCCCCAGGACCCATATCAAAGGGAGGCAGATCCCTGGGACTCACTAGCCAGCTAGCCCTAGACTAACCAGCAAGCCCTTCTCCGATTTATACATCCGCCATTGTTTCCTCCCTAGAGACGAAGTGGCTGTGATCCAGTGACCAGTGACTTTCTTCTCTTCTCACCCCTGCTTCTTACTAGTGTGTCCCACAGCCAGTCCCCTGGGCCCTCTGGGCTTCACACACTCGCCCGTAGAATGAGGGAGGGCACCAGCTGAGTACAAAGACTCCAGGAGTCTGAACGCATGGGAGTCAACCACAAATGAGATAGTTTAGCTCAAGTGCAGGAGGCTGACCCTTGCCTGGTGATGGATCTCAGAGCTCGGAGTGATGAGAAGTAAAACGAGAAGGGCGTTGCGGTCTTGAACTTTTCATACCAGCGCAGGGACTTGGAAGGCCTCCTCCGCTCTGAATCCGTGGTGGCTGAGAGTGGGTGGCTAAGAAGGCCCTGGCTGGTGTGCTGAGAGGGCTGAGCCTCTGTGTCACTGTGCCAGCTCTGAGTGCGCGCCCCTCCATTGCCTTCCAGGAAGGCAAACAGGGCCTACGAGAGCGTGCTGTGGACCTCGGGAGAGAGGAGGGGAACCATGTGCAGGGGCTCAGATCCAGGCCTTCCCTGACATTTCCTCCTCTGGCAAGAATGGACCTAGCAAAGGGGGATGGGGGGCTTATGACAGGAATGGCTTCCACACAGTCGTGTCCTAGAGCACTGCTCAAAGTAGCATTGCTGAGTTAGTTCTTAAGTCAGTAGCTGTCTCAGGGGAGAACTGGGGTCCTGAGGAGCTATGGGACTTGTCTCAGGAAGGGGAGCAGTGGCTCAGACTCGCACCCCTGCTTCTGACACCCAGCGCCACCCAACTGACACCAAGAAGAACTCACTCCTTTTCTGGAGAGCTGCAGCGGCGGAACACACTCCAGTCATCTAGGCGTTGATCGCTGTACGGCTCTGGGTGCTCCCCGCGTGTCTCTGTGCTTGCCCAGAGATGTTTTGTCGTTTTAAAGAGAAAATTACTAAAAACACATATAAAGTAAAATGTCCCATTTTAAACAACTTAAACTTACAACTCAGTATCCCAGAGAGCGTCTGTAACACAAGCGACCATTAACTGCTGGGGCATTTTTCTCACCTAGAAGTCTGACAGTTGCCTTTACTTGGTGTCTGTCTTTGAATCATGACTGAGATTCCTGTAAACCAATCATGGTGTCCCCCCTCTTCCTTTGGTCCACTAGTTGCGGGAGAGGTGGGCAACTTAGAAGTCATTTCAGTGTCTGACCTGTATATTTACTACACGGGATGTTTTTGAACCAGGCTCCCCTGTGTGAGGTAGGAAACCCCGTGGGACCCTGGGAGTCTGCAGGGCACTGACAGTGCGATATAGCAGCGTTCACCTCTGTTTGCAGGGACTTGGCTGGCAAACAATCAAGAGTCCCTCGCCAGGGCCCTATGGCTTTGCTTTATACCCTCCAGGGAGATCGTTTGATGTTTTTAGAGACCCAGCTGTGGGTTTGATTTCCTTCTTGGTCCGTGTATCAGTGTCATTCTCTGAGCCTCACTTTTGACGGCTTGGTCTGACCACGTGTGGATTCATCATTGGTGCTGGCTGCATGTAATGCCCTGCTTGATCAGCGGCTACAGAGACACCATGCTCTTTGGGAGGGGCTGTTTCTGCACTTTGGTGGATGAGTGGTATTGATGATACTGGGCTGGACTGTGTTAGAAAACCATTCCCAGCCCTGATGAGCTTTAATTGCTTTAAAAACCCAGCAATCTATTTGAATACTAAAATTTTGGTTGTGACTGTGTCTGAAGGCACTGTTTGCATGCTTGGGGTGAAATTGCTTCCCATGGGGTGTAGAACAAGAGTTGGACTCTATACATAAATGAAAACAGGCAGTTGTCCCTATAGAAAGCCCTAGAGAGGCCCTAATGCTCTTACAACTCTCATCCATGCCCTAGTGGTGACTTGCAACTTGACTGTCAGTGTCTCCCTTACTGTCCCCAGAAATGGCTGTTGAGATCCAACCACGTAGAGGTAAGGGCCAGGAAAGAATCCCATGTACCTTTCATAGACAGGGTCAAACTGCCTTATGCACCCTGTCCCCTTTGACCTGAGAACCTCCTGGACATGTGCTTGCTCTGAGGTGCCCTTCCCTTTAGCAGAGAACTGGACTCCAGTGCCTTGCTAAAGGACCCGTAATTGACAGGAGCCAGAAATGAGAGAGAGCACATTCCTTCCACTAACTTGTCTTATTCTTGAATGGGAGAGGACATGATGGGCCCTGGGCAGCTTTAGGGGTAGGAAGCATCCTATCTAGCAGGGAGAGATAAGGATACGGAACGGCATAGTTCGTCCAAATGTGTGCACTCCAGTTCCAGGATGGCTCTGTGAATCCTTGGCCACGCTGTTGAGAAAGAGAAATCAACCCTGAGTCTGGGTTTGCAAGTGAGAACCAGCCCAGCCCCCAATTAGCTGCACCCACAGCTCAACTGTATTCCCTGTGGACTCTGCATGGTGTGTCATCTTTAAAAGTTTGGGTTTGACGATGAAATGTTTGAAATGGCACCGCTGACAGAAGAAACACACAGCTTTGGAGTTCTAGAAGCTTGGGTTCTTACCCTGACTCTGCTGCTTGCTCGCTGGACAGTCTTAGGCAGGCCACTAACCCTTCCAACATGTGTAACACATAGGCAAGGATCCTTAGCGTATGAACTGCCTTGGAGGAGAAGTAGGTAAGGTTGGCCAAGCCTCATTGTAAGTAGGGCACAGTGGCTCTTACCATGCAGGGCAGGTGGTGGTGTAGTTACTGGGTCATCTGAGCATCCCTTCTGCCTTCTGCATCTCTAGTGCTCCAAGGCGTAGACAACTCGCTGGTAGGCCTGCACAACCAGAGCTTCGCCCGGGTCATGGAGCAGCGTCTAGCCCAACTCTTCATGATGTCCCAGCAACAGAGTCGGCGGTTTAAACGGGCCACCACCTTGGGAAGCTATACTGTGCAGGTAGGCATATGCACTGGGGTTTTCTAATGACCGTGGGAGGGATGTGTTTCCTGGGACTAAACAACTACGTGTGCCCAGACGCACATCCACGCTGCCAACTGACTTAAGCCACTTGATCAACACTCCTCTGGAGCATTCAAGGCTGCGGGTCAGTCTCCTTTCATCGTTAGTACATAGATTACCAGGAAGTGAGTCTCTATATATGTGGATATTCATGAAGCAAACGTTCCCAAGTCACTTCTCACTCTCCTGCCAGTTCCTTATACCTCTCAAAGAAACCACCAGCATAAACTTCTCTGGGTTAGTTTTAAGGGACTTGTGTAGTCAGGACAGCAGCTGTGCCTGTGGAGACTATCCAGACCTCCCTCCAGACTTTATCCAGTTCTCCCTAGAGTGGAAATGTCCTTAGTGTATTGGAACCAATCCATGCAACTTAAATATGATTAACGTCATCCTTCACCCCTGAGCATCCATCTCTAACATGCTCATTGACAAAGCTCCCATCACAGATACCCTCCTAGTAATGTGACCTTCCGCTGGCCTATGCGCTCCTGATTGACAGCCGACCACGTCTGCATAGATGCACAGTGCCATGCTGTCTATGTGGAAATGCAGACATCAGCACAATGTGTCTGCCAATCACATCCCCATTTCTTGAAAGTCATCCACCTGCTCTTCCTGCAGGAGTTGCATCAGAGACACTCCATGTCTCCTTATACAGTAGTGCATTGTGCTCATGATCCTTTTGGATGCCAGTTTGGTTCAGCAAGTTTGCTTCATGCCAGCCCATCGCTAAGTAAAAGGTCTGTTCCATGTAAGCCCTTCAACTCATGCTTTCCTAACGACAGAAAGCAAGTTGCTGGTGACCACATGGCTGTGAAGTGGTTTGCATCAGTCCATGTGAGAGGAAGGACCTTCTTACAAGCCCCGTGCTACTTGTGACCCTAACACGTCCACACATCTCAGAGACTGCAGAGAGATGGCGTGGTGGAGTGAGGAAGTGGCACTTCTCTTTTTCTGAAAACATCTACATAGAGATGCTATAGATTGCTTCTGACATCATACTTGGCTTAATCATGGTAAGAAGTGCTATCACGTTGGAAGTGAGTGACGTTAATAGATATTTGAATTATCACTCGCCTCCGCCAGGCTGTTCAAGCACTGCCCGCCTCCTCTCCCACTTGGGGAAGGAGCGACATGTCGAAGCCTCCCCCAAACCTACAAGATGGCACTTCCATTGTCTTTCACCCAGAGGCCTTTCTGCTGGGTCGAGACCCTTTATAAAATGACTTCCCTGCATAAATGTGGAGATTTAGATGGCTAGAACTTAGTTATCTGGGAAGATGGCTCAGCCAGAGAAGGGCTTGCTGCACAGTATGAAGGCCTGAGTTTGGATCCTCAGAACACACCACAAAGCAGGTCTTGGCAGCACATAACTCTAACACCAGAACTGGAAGGTTAGGGGTGGGAAGATCCTGGGGGGTTGCTAGCCAGCTAGCCAAACCAAATTAAGTGAGCTCAGGTTTAGTGAAAGACACTTTCTCAAAAACCGAGGTAGAAAGTGATGGAGGAAGATTCCAAAAGTTGACCTTTAACCTGCACACAGGCAAGAGCAGCGCACACACACATGCACACACGCACACGCACACGCACACACACACACACACACATACAACATAAATTTTTAAAATTATATTCTCTTTCTTCCTATCCAAGTTGAGCATGGTTCTGAATTTTGGATTAATTCAGTCCTGTATTTTCTATACAGATTTCACCCCCATGCGTAGATCCTTACAAGCATGCCATGTTGTTTTTCCTGTTTTAAATTTTATATTCTATAATTTGTAATCCACATTCATATGAACTGGAGTAGTTCATTCATTATAATCTATTATATGACTTTCCATAACTCATTTATTCAGTTTACTACTATTGACTTTTGGATTTTTCAGGGTTTTTTGAAGTTGTTAATGAACTTTCCATAAACATTTTTGTAATATCTTTTTATATTCTATAAAATTCAATGTCTGTAATGTATACTCTGAAAATACTGTAATATAATTAATTAATTGCTAATTCTAAGAGCCAAAGGTTAAAATCCTAAATTCTCAGTGCTTACCATGCCTATAAACATACAATAAAACACTATCTCCATATCAGATAATTATCATAATCATATCATATGATTTTCAATTTGTAATTAAAAAGTTAAAAGGAACACTTTAAATGTCTAACAACAAAGGGCTTGCTAGGTAATCTTATGAGACAGATATCTGAGTGCCTTGTGGAGAGAAATGCTTCTGCTTTTGAAACAGATTGGGCCACTTTAAAATGCAAGCAAAAATGGTGAGCTGCAGGCCTGAGATGGCTCAGCAGGTAAAGGCACCTGCACTAAGCCTGAGGACTTGAGTTCAATTCCTGGGACCCTTGATAGAAGGAGAGAACCTATTCCTACAAGTCGTCCTCTGACCACACATGCATCATGTCACGTGTGTGTGTGCATGCACACATAAATGTAAAAACTGTGAATTATGATGCTGTATAGGGAGTGTGATGATTTTATAAGATAATAGAGAAAAAGTTTGTGTAGAAAATACAAAGATTAGGAACAAAAGCTCTAAGATGCTAATTGTTCTTTGATGTCAGAGGAAGAACTATACATTAATATTTTTTTCATTGCTTTATGCTTTTCCATCTGAATGTAAAGTTTGTAGTGGGCTGAGCTCCCAAAGTCTAGTCAATGAGAGGGAAGAGTGAGAATATGAGCACAGAGGTCAAGACCATGATGGGGACACCCACAGAAACAGCTGACCTGAGCTAGTGGGAGCTCCCTGACTCTGGACTGACAGCGGGGGAACCAGCATAGGACCAAACTAGGTCCCCTGAATGTGGATGACAGTTGTAAGGCTGAGGCAGACTGTTGGGACCACTGGCAGTGGGATCAGGATTTATCCCTACTGCTTGAACTGGCTTTTTGGAACCTATTCTCTTTGCTCAGCCTAGTTATAGTGGGGAGGGCCTTAGTTCCACCTCAAAGGATGTGCTAGACTTTGTTGACTCCCCAGGGGAAGCCTTACCCTCTCTGAGGAGTGAGTGGGGGATGGGGTGGGGAGAAGGTGGAGGGGGCAGAGCAGGGAGTGGGAACTGAGATTGATATGTCAAATGAGAAAAGATTGTTTTCTAAAAATTTAATTAATTGATTTTTTTTTAAGAAACGCAAAGAAGCAAGCCTCTATGTAGCTGATTTGGGAAAAGGAGTCTGAGTTTACGATTGTCACTTTTATCAGAGGTCTCCTCTTATAGACAGATAGGTCATTTACCCCTTTCAGGCAATTGAAGAGTTTTGAAATTAAAGCACCTTGTTTGGGATACCTAGTGTGCCCTGAGTTAGCACGGAGGCCTATTTTCAAATGAGGCCAAAGCTTAGTGGAGGTTGGGAAACTCGCTCTTCCTTGTTCATCCCCAGCTTCCGGCTGCCTTCCAGATGCTGCTGTGTTTCAAGCCCCGCTTTCTCCGCTCAGCCTCTCCTTCCAGGGATAACCAGCTTCCTGAGACTCTGCGGAGGACCATAGGGCAGATCTCTAGCCTGTCCCTGTGGGTCCTCTAGGACCCAGTAGGCCTCAATGACTCAGTGAGGCGAGCCTTCTGATGGCTCAGAGGCCTGCAGGGCCTGTCCAAGATGCCCCGGCAACACCCTGCTTCTCTTTTTTGAAAGATGGTGAAGATGCAGCGAGTGCCAGGACCAAAGGACCCAGCAGAGCTGACGTACTACACCCTGTACAACGGGAAGCCACTGCTGGGGACTGCAGCAGCCAAGATCCTGAGCACCATCGACTCCCAGAGAATGGCCTTGACCCTGCACCACGTTGTCCTTCTGCAGGCTGACCGTAAGGAGTCTGTTCATTCGGTGCTTTAACGACATTAATTATTTTCGTGCGGCCCGGTGCTCCTCCAAACGGTATCGGTGGTCTTACAGCTGAGCAAAGCTATAAAGATCCAACAGCTCTTTTCTGTTAAAGCAGTAAGCGTTAGGTGAGGGTGGTGGTTTGCAATATCTGAATGATAGAAGGTGATAATGTCCCTTTGTCCCCAGGTGCCAACTCCCCTTCCTCCTCAGATCCAATACCATCTAGCTACAGAAAATAACTGCAGCTGAGATCATATTTATGCGCGGGGGGAATTAAAAACAATTTGATTCAGTGAATATTCAGTTCCTTGTGAACTATGCTTAGCACTGGCGGTCATTAGAAGTGGGTGGCACCTGGTCTCCAGCTCTGAGGGACAGCGTTGTTGATGCATGGGGCTGCCAGTAGGACACTGGTACCTGCATAGGGAGGGTTTGCTTTGAAGGATCCCCCTGAAGTAGGGGACAGAAACTGCTCTGTGGCCGCTCTTGTGGCATTTACTATGCTCCAGCTATTGACCTTCTGTTCTCATAGGGCTCTGTTTATTCAGCTCCAAATTACGGGAGGTCAAACAGGCACAAAAAAAATGTAGGATAACCAGATTACCCATCACAAACCAGCACTTGGCCAAGACACCAATCCGGGTACTTCCAACGTCAGACTTGTGTTCTTAGCTATGTCATACTTTAAGAGCTCATTAAAGGGAAGGGAAGGGTGTGCCAGAAAAACACCGTGAGTGAAAATGCGGGAGAGACGTACCAGGTGTGCCTAGAAACACAAGGAGTTTAAGTGGCTCAGGGCAAAAACAAAAGCAACAAAGAACAGGTGGAGGATTTGATGGAAGGGTAAGGAAGGTCAGTTCCTATGGTTTTCTGGATGGTGTCCGCCCTCCCCAAAGAGCGTCAGGTTGGTTCACACCCGGCTCCTGACTCTCCTCTCCTCCTCCTCCTCTTCTCTTGCTTTCACTGGGGATGACTGTGTGACAGACAGACCATGCTTGGCTGGTACATCCTCCCAGACACACCTGTGCTGAGGGATGATGACAGCCATCCTCTGCAGTCTTGTTTTTGAAATGACACTTTCAACTGTGAGTCTCTTCCTTTTCTCGTTTCCTGTTCCCTCTTCAGGGCCTCTGTTCTTGTCAGTTTCTGGTCCCCACTTCCTGTGTTTTGTAGTCTTTCCTATGTAAGTTCCCCCAAAGTTCTGTCCTCCGTGTTTACATCTGTCTGCCCGACCCCAGAACAAATCCCGAGGAAAGGAGAGAGAGGTGGCAATGCTAGGCATGGAGCACAGGATGCATTCAGAATCTTCTGAGCAACAGAGGTGCTGGGTACAAACAACAGATTTTCCTGGCAGGAAAAGAGGTGGGAGATCAGAGAGTTAGGGGAGACGTCTGGGTGTTGACTTGAGCCCTGCATTTGTTGAGATGCAAAAGGTGTGGATTTAATGTCTGGGGTGGAAATCAGGGGTGTGGAAGTGGGACGTTAAGTTTGAAATGTCTACTAGAGGACCACACGGAAGTCAAGAGAAAGAGGGTTGGGAACATCAACACACGGAGCAGGAGAGTGATGGGGAAACTTCAGCCAATCACATTCTGCAATTGAGCAAGAGTGAAAACCGTGAAACTTCCCAGGAAGTCCATGTGTGGAAGAGCAAGAGCCAATGGGGTCCTGAGGAGTGACGAGGGGCTGGAAGGAGATGCAGGAGACAGTGAGATTTAGGAAGCAAGTGGAGAGACTAGAGAGATGACTCAGAGGTTAAGAGCACTTACTGCTCTGGCAGAGGATGCAAGTTCAGTTCCCAGCAGCCACACTGGGGAACTCACAACTGCCTGGAGCTTTAGCTCCAGAAAGGAAGCTCACGCACAACTCTCATGGAAAGGGGTGGGCTTCTAGGCTTATTTAGATCCTCTAGAGGCAGTCCGATCAGGTAAAAGTTGACAGAGTTTGGTCTGATGGAGATTTTTTTGGTGACCCAGCTAGCAGTGGCTCGGAAAGGTTGGTAAGAAGGGGATCGTGATGGGACAGTAGTGACAGAAAGGAAGGTGAGTGGAACAGTCGTTTGGGGTGAGTTTGGTTTTCTGCGGGGATGGTCATAAAGAGGGAGTGACAGAGGAGAAAAAGGTGAGATGTGTAAGTCAGAATCCTCAAGTGAGCAAAGAGATTGGGCCTAGCGCGCGTGTGGAGAGATCCTACACGACCGTCCTAGTAGAAGGAGAAAGAAAACAACAGTACCACAGTGCATTTGGTAACTGAAGCCTAAGGGTGCATTCTGATTGGCTCTGTTCTCTTGGGGCCACCATGAAGTGGAATGACCACTGGGCTTCATGCTGGAGATGGATTTAAGCAGAGCCAACTGGTTAGGACAGCGTAGCAGGTTCCCAAGGCATCCTCATCCTCGTCTGCCCTGCTGTGTCCAGATAATTCCTTCTCCTCTTTCATCCCAGGTCCAGTGCAGGGGAGATGGCTCAGTGGGTAAGAAAATGGGGGTCTGAGTTCAAATCCCCAACATTCACATAAAAAGCTGTGTGTCACCATGTGCACCATTCCCCCAGCTTTGTTGTGGGTAGAAACAGGATTGCTGGGGCTTGCTGACCCAAGCATAGCTCTCGGCTTGGTAAGAGACCCTGTCTCGAGGCAGCAAGGCAAAGAGTAGCTATGGATGCCTATCATCCTCCTCTGGCCTCCATGCATACGTGGGCATGAACACTCATGAAATCTACACCATACACACATATCCTCCATCATCCTGCCACCCTCTCTGGATTCCCCGGGACACCGCTCACTGGACATTCTTAGCAGCCTGACTCACTGGCCCCCTTCCTCTCCATCATTTCTCTGGTCCCTGCTCTATGCTCCTTTTGGTTTCTTTGTTCTGAGACTTCCTCTCTGCTCCAGACCTGTGGTACATGGGAAAGGATGAGAAGAGCTGTCCTTGGTGACTACAAGAAGCAAACACACACAGGGGAGGGGACTGAGGCCGAGAGGACTTGGCTGACGGTGGGTGGCAGGGACAGGGAAGGCACTAAGAGAAGGGGAAAGGAGAGGAGCTCACATCAGATTGGATGTGTGGAGCCTTTTGGAAACCACTCTAGGTGCTGAGGAAGGACTAAGGAGGGACCAAGGTTGCAGCTCTCCTGCCCGCTCCCAAAGCCATCTCACGGTGACCTCTCACCTTTGCTTCTTTGTCTCTGCCTCTCCACTAACCCACACAGCAGCGCCATTCTCCAGGTCTCTCCTTTCCCCATCTTCAGCCATGGCAGTAGCGTCCCCGTGCTCACAGGGACATGCACAATCGTGTACCTTCCATGCTGCCATTAGAATCGCTGTAATCACATCTGAGTTCTGCTCTCACATCAGCTCCCTAAAAAATAGCTATTATCTCTTCATCCTCTATAGAATAAAGTGCACCTTCCTGGAAATGGGTCTTCACAGTAACTCAGACTGAGCGCCCCCACTCAGGGGTCTTTATAGTCTGGTCTCCAGGAATCCTGGTTTGCTTTCTGTTGTTGCGGGAAAACGCTATAACCAAAGTTACTTGGGGATGAAAAGGTTTATTTACACTTCCGTATCATAGGCCTTCATTGAGGGGAATTAGGGCCGGAGCTGAAGCAGAGATCATGGAGGAACACTGACTTGCCCCCCAAGCCTTGCTTAGTTTTTTTTCTTATACCACCCAGGATCACCTGCCCAGAGGTGGCACCACCCACATTTGACTAGGCCCTCCCACAGTCATCATTGGTCAGGAAAATGCCCCACAGACTTTCCTACAGACCAATCTGATGGGGTTCCTTATTCCCAGATGACCATAGTTCGTATTAAGTTTGTCCAAATACTAACCCGTACACCAGGCTGTTCTTCATGCCGTACAGTCTTCTTTCCCCTTCCTGTCTCATGATTCAGCCTTGAGAGTGTGCTCACTCCACACCATCCTTGTCCTGAGTGAACAGGCTAAGTAAGCCAAATAAATACTACGCCAAATAAACGCTACACTAGCTGGTGGTAAATGCCACACAGAAAATGTAGGCAGGAAGGGCTGTGGATACGGAGGAGATGAAGTTGTGATTTAAGTTGCTTGGGGACATGAGAGGATCCGTGAACAGCCAGCTAAATTGGAGGTGGGAGGGAACATAAAGATTCCTGAAACCGTCTAGGACCTGGTCCAGACAAAGCAGGGTGTGAGGCTGAGTGAGGAGGTTCACAAGGAGGAAGAATGGAAGTGGTGGGGGTCTAAGGCACAGGAGAAGGGCCCCACTAGATTCCACGGGCTGGCCCTGAGTGGAGGAGAAGCCACGGGAGGGTTTGGGCAGGAAAGCAGCATAGACTGAACACTCACTCCTCAGTGGAGCCCTGGATGGTATCGCCCTGCATCTACTCACACAGCTGTAGAGGACAACATTTGAGAAAAGAAGCCTAAAGCATAGTTGAATCTTTCTCCGTTTAGCATCTGACGAGGTGAGACTCATTCGTCTGTTTACACTGTTTGGAGCCTCCTGGCAAATGCTCATGTGAATGTGCACTCCAGCACACACACAGACGGAGGCTCACACTTCCATTCCCGTGTGATAGCTCACAGAGCCTTTCAGAGTGGTTTTAGGGAGATGCCCTTTCCTATCACCTAGGCTCTCAGTTTTCTTACCTGTGGACCAGGATGAGAACAGGATGCAGGCCCAGGCTTGCCATCTTGTGTGATGCCAAGGAGACACTCGGAGCTTATTATTTCCTTCCTCTCTGTCCTCTACTGAACCTCCTGCAATTTAAATGACCACTCAGGCCTGTCCATAGCCTCATACGTTTAGATCTCATGCCAATGACTCCATTGGATTGTCAGGACTCCAATTGACCTAGCTTTAATATCTTTTGACTGCTAAAGGAATGTATTAATATGCATAAATGTGTTCTCTCCTCCATTTAAATAGAGGTGAAGGAATTTTACATTCTGCACCAAAAAGAAAGGTATCCACCCAAACAATAAAACTAAATGCAGAGTACATAACTATTCCATGCTCACTAGTTATATACACATGTGTGCATTTGCTGTGTATGTATATGTTGATACATATGTATGCATTTAGAATAGGTTCTCATACACCACACGTATATGTCCATCAGGTGATAAGGAGGACTTCCTGGTCTGCATCAGGATAAAATAGCCCACCCTGAAAAAGGTATTAGTGAGACTTTCCACAGAGGCTCTGAGCTTTAGAAAATGTTAATGCCACAGAACTCACATATAAATACAAGCTACTAAGAGCAGTAGCAATTAAATGCAATGTCAACAGAGGCACATTATCTAATGAGCTGTTTTCAGAAGTTAATAATGTGATTAATCACTGATTGATACAGACCATGGAAAGAGAAACTCTTCTATACTAATAGGATCTGGAGCCCAAGGGCAGCCAGATCACAGGCAGAACTTGGCTAACAGCTGAAGTCAAGGTGATTGCAACCAGAGGGGGACCAGCTGGCTCCTCAGACAGATTGTCCCCATGTGGCATTTACCAGTGGGGCTTTTGTGTTGCAGGGTCTAAAGTCCTCAGCTTCGAGATTCCCACGCAATCTCTAGAGTTCAGCAGCATTAGGAAGATTCATGCTAACTAAACATATAAAAGACCAAAATATAAGGTAGACTGTAAGCAAAATGGATTTAAAATATGGACTAGAATCATCATGGAGATGAGATTTTCCTTCTAGCTTGGTCTCCTTGCAACGGGTATAATAGCAGTTTATGCTCTCAAGTCTCGAGGTTCTGGTTAAGCACTCATTATCTGGAAGGCCCTGTCATACGTCCTGAGGATGCCCTTGTGATTCATATGTGTGTGCACACATACACACACACACACACACACACACACACACACACCGTGGTGGGGTGGCAAGATGAGCAAATGCCCATGCTGACATGTGTTTTAGAGTCTTGCTGCTGTGACCAGAGGCCTGGTACAGACACCACCCAGGAGCTTTGGGGAAGGCAGAGTCTGGGAGAGCCTGGAGACAGTGACAGGATTCGTGTGTGGGACACTGGATAGGCAGAAGAGAGCCGGCGCTACGGTGAGGTGATGGCCTGCCTCGCTGTGGAGCAGGCATGGAGATGAAAATGTCTTGGGAAGAACACAGCAGGGAGGGAGAGAATCAGGAGTTGTGTTCTGGGGGGCAGTGAGATGACTTAGTGCATAATGGAGCTTGCTGCCAAGCCTGATCTGAGTTCCCAGGTCCCACCTGGTGGAGGCAGAGAACCAACTAGCTATTAGAAGCTGTGCTCTGTCCTCTGGCCTCAGTGACAATAGTTAGCTGAAGTCCAATAGCCTGACATTGAGGGCACGCTCCCCACAGCAGGCAAGTCCCCCCCATCTTCAGTTCCTCTCTAGATTGCTGCAGACTTCCCCTCCTTCTTGAGACTCCTCCCATCGGCATCTGCTTAGACTCCTGGTTTACTCCACTTCTGATTTTGATTTGGCTGGTGTTCCCTAAAAATTCCTCTGTGTAATTCTGAGAGAGGCTCACTCACCTCACATCAAGGGCATTTCCTCTTTCCCACATTTTCCTAACCCAACTTAACAAAATGTTGAAAGATATACGCCGTAAATAACCATGTCCCCACCCCTCCAGAACACACACTTAGAGCTTTACTGCTGTCTTTTTTTTTATCATATATTGGCTTATCTCTCCTCTGCCCCATGTATTTCAATGTGAATCACAAACCTCTGTCACCCCTAAACACGTCGGTGTGCACATCACTAATCAGAATTTCCTGTCTGCTTATGATGCTGCAATAAAGCATACACACGGTGAGGATGTACAGATCTGATGAGTTCTGACAGATGTGCACAGCTGTAAGAACCTAGTCATCATGGTATAGAGCATAACCAGCTCCCTGTCATCCCTTCAGGGTTGCATTCCTGCCCCCACCCCACCCCCCAAGGCACCTGCTGTTCTGGTAACCTACCGCCCTACTGAGACCAGCCTGGTCCTGTGGTTAGTCCTGGCATTTCTAAACTTCCCAGACACATTCTGATGGAGATCCGTCTGCTCAGGTTACACTTCATACCTTGCTTGCTCACAGGGTGATTTTACTGCCTGGAGTTATCTCTTGGTGGTTCCTGCCTGACTCCAACATACATGTCTTTATTTGTGTTTGTGTGTTACTGGAAACTTGCCATTTCAGCTAGTCTGACTGGCCAGTAGACTCTGGAGATTTGCTTGTTTCTGACCTCCTCTGCTCAGTGCAGGCACATGTAACCATGCCTAGATTTCTAGGTGAGTGCTGGGGACTTGAACTCAGGTTCTCATGCTTGTAGGAAAAAAGCTCTTATCCATTGAGCCATTTCTCCAGCCCCTCTAACATGCACTTCTAATCCTCATGTATTTTTCTCCTTTTCTCTTTTGACTATCTCCAGCAAGGCGAACAGGGACATTAATTGGCTTTTCTCTTTCTACTCTTGGGAACAGTGGAGTCTAATGTCACCTGAGCATGTGCTAGGAGCCATACTAAAGCAACACATAGAGGTGCTCTCATTTTACAGACAAGGAGATGGAGGCTCAGAGAGCTTGAGCTACTTCCCCAAGGTCACACAGTGGCAGAGGCAGAGGCTACTGAGTTCCCCCTCTCCCTGTCGTCTGACTTGGGGTTGGGAGTTACATTTGGGTGGCCTTCCCCTCCCTAGGGCTCTTCGTCACGTGCTTCTCACTGGCTCTTTCCCACAGCCGTGGTGAAGAATCCACCCAACAACCTGTGGATCATCGCCGCGGTGCTGGCCCCCATCGCCGTGGTCACGGTTATCATAATTATCATCACCGCTGTACTCTGTAGGAAGAACAAGAATGACTTCAAGCCAGACACCATGATAAACCTGCCTCAGAGAGCAAAGGTAATGTGGGCATGGGGAGGGTCAGGAGCTTTCCCGGAGTCTCCACCAGCCTTTCTCCTGGGCTTGTAGGGTTATTGAGTACCTTCCGAAACATGTCACACCCCCTCATTCCAAAGGAGTGATTGGCATGTAACACACGTTCCTCTGCGGCTCGCTCTCACCCACAGACACTTTCAAGTAGTTGACACACAGAGGATCTCTCGCCATTACTAGATCCTCTCGAGGAAGGACTGTTATTTTACAGACAGACTGAGGCACCGACAACTATTCGCAAGAAAGATGTGAAAAGACGTTAGATAGCTTTAATAATTGGACCCCACCTCTCTGTACCAGCGAAAAGTAGCTCCTTTGACTCCGTCCCGGTTCCACGGATAGTTAGCAGCAGAAGTGATGGTCACACAAAGCCTGCAACTGTCTGAACATCCTAGCCTCCAAGTGAAGGTATTACAAGGTTGGTTTGGAAGGGTACTGGGCCGTGGAAGTGGGGCTCCCAGGAGTGAGATCAGTACCCTTTTGAAAGTAGCCCAGGGAACCCTGGCCTCTTCTACCACATGAACACACAAGAAGTGGGCTGTGTCCAGCCCAGCAGTGAGCGCTCACAAAGTCCCAGCTATCCTGGCACTATAACCTCAGCCTTCCAGCCTTAGAATCAGATCTGCCTTTGATACGCCTCTTGATTAATGGTGTTTTGTTGTATTGGCCCAGGTGACCAAGACAAGGTCTCTTGGCTCCTACACAAAACCTCTTTGGACACACAGACTCCTAGAAATTTCTCCACCCCACTAATGACTCTGCTTCTGCCATTGTCATGACGGACAGGCTATGAGATAGGCTGACAGCTACCGAATACCAATTCAGTAGCTCAAAGAAAGCCTGGCTGTTCTTCCTCTGTCCCCTGCATATCTCTTCCCTAAGCACCTCTGGTGACAGGGAGGGTGGTGGATTGAAGGCAGAAAACATCCTGAACCTAATTTTCCAGTCACATAGCTGCTTTTGAACACTCCCTGTGGTAAATGTCCACTCTGTAATACCCGCTGTTTAAATAACGCCTTACAATCTGCGGGCTCCTCTAGGTCCGTCACCTCATCTGTTCCTCACAGCTGTCCTGGGAGTTAGGTCACAGTCAGGGCAGGTTTCATTATTCTCACATAACTGCCAAGAAATCTGGAGAGACACAGGGACTTGTCCAGTCATAGCACAAACAACAGAGGGGTGACAAAGGACCGCATCCGTGTGCATGTGTGTTGTATGCACTTGTTAGTGTGGGTGCACGTTCAGTATGTGCATACAGGGACCAGAAGTTTCTATCAGGTGAGGAGGTGTCTTCTCTCTCACTTGCCATCTTTGTTTTTTCAGTCTCTCACTGAACCGGAAGCTCACTGAGTGGGCCCACGCGGCTCGCCAGGGAGCTTCAGGACCCGCCTGGCTCTGCAGTCCATCCCCTGCCAGCTCCAGGGTTACACATACACGTCACCACACCTCGCTTTTGTGTGGGCTCTGGAGATCCAAACAGCAGGCCCTTCCACAACTGAGCCTGCTCCCCAGCCCTCTGGGAACTCATCCTCCATTCTCCGCCCACCCACACTCTGGGACTTGGCAGGCTTTCCGCTCCTAGCTCTGAACCTCGAAACTCCATCTGGCTACATAGACATGGGACAGCACACCACTCCCTCTGACTTCCCACACTTTGCGATTTGTGTCAGCCATGGGGCTTGTCCTTGGAGGGCCATGCTGGGCTCTGGTCTGTTTGCGTGAGCCCAGCTCACTTGAGTGCAAGAAATCAAAGGTACTTTTATTCCATAGCAAGCGCTACATCTGTGGGGAAGCTGGAGCCTCATTAGACAGTCCTGTCTCCCGAGGCACCGCCTTCCAGGGAATGTTGTTCTGTATGTTGTTATGTCTGTTGACATAAGACACCTGCTTCCCAGACACAGTGGGGTGCTGGGGAGAAGGGTACAGAGGGAATTGTCGAGCTGTGAAAAATGAGACTGCTCCAAGACAGAATATTTCATTTCCATCTGAGCTTGCCTACAACGTGAGTCTTTTTAGATAGACGTAGCAAGTAATTATCAGCATCACAGCTGAGTCCAGGAATGCAAAACGCGCCATACTGGAGTTGGAAAGGGAAACTTTGCGCTAAACCAAAGTCTTCATTCATCTGCCGAGCTGAGCAGCATCCTCCCTGGCTTGACAGCTCTGGAACTAGAACAGATGAGATGTTGACGCCTCTGCCCAGCTCCTTCCTTGTGCCTACCCCAGGCACCGTGCTTCTTAGAATGCTTACCTGGTACTGAGAACCAAGCCGACCTATGTCCCATGAGCTGCTTGCTATGTGTTCCTGCGGGGCTCAGCTGGTTGCCTCTCCCACCATAAGGGTGGCGGAGACACTTCAATTCCCAAAGCCCCTTTGTCGCAGGAAGCCAGCGGAGTGGAACTGCCTAGCGCCGCAGTCCTGCAGGGGAAGAGTCAGGGACACGGCAGTGACTGAGAGGCCGCTGCGTGGAAAGTGTGAGCAGAATTCAATGAATGCCAAGAGGCAAGGCACAATAAGGGAGTGAGCCCTGGGCACCAATCAGTAGCCAAGGCAGACGGCCCCAGGGACATCACTGTATACTGAGAATGCAGGCTGCAGAGCCGGGGGAGATCCTGGGCACCCGTAATATACTTAGCATGCTAAGCAGAGAAGGCGAGTGAGGCTTTTCTGGGAGCCGAGGCCAGAGAGAATCGTACACCCTCTTCAGAGACAAGGTCCGCAGACACACCCTGTTGCTATTGTTGTCAGCTAGGTTTGTGTAGGGAGAATACTGGGACCATGGTGTCGTGCTTTCCTGATCTCCTGTCTTCCCTGGTCACCCCTCTTTGTTCTTCTCCAGTGAATCTGCAGCCTTTCCTCCCAGCTCTCCCGTCATATAAAGAGAACATGGTGGGAACTGGCATCTTTAGAAAGTTGTTAGAGCCCACCTAGGTGCAGGGCAGGTCCTGCAGGGCCTGGCTGACAGAAACTGCTTGGGATAGTTCATTCATCCCCTAAGAACAGCCACTGTTTTCCTGTTTCTCGCACGCAACCTACGTGAACTCGGCACAGTTATAGGGCCTCTTTGTGCCTCAAGTTTCCCATCTGTTCAATGGGGATAGCAGCACTGTTTATGGACGGGCAGGTGTAAAGATCAAGTGAGGCACACACATTCCTTAAGCTCTGCCTGGTCTACAATAAATGTCACATACAAATTGACTTTCCTTGTTTCATGTACTTTTGTCTTAAAAAGTAATATAACTGTCTGCCTTTAAAAATTATTGGAGCTTACTATTACTAATGGTGGTTGTGGTGGTGGTGGTGGTGGTGAGGATTGAACCAGTGCCTTGTGCATGGGAGGCAGGTGCTGTGCCACTGAGCTGTGTATCCCCAGTGTAGAAGTTATTATTTTGGTTTGGTAAGTGTATGGAGCTCACTAGAGCGACATTGCATTATTGAGGGTGGACGTTACCAGTGTGTGTCAGATAAGCACTTGATTGATGTTAGCCAATTTTCAAAACGTTGGGCCGATTGCCCTGAGAATCAGAAAAGCAAGGAGCTAGGCTTCAGTTTTTACCACTTAGCTGTGTTCTCTTGGGCACTCACTCACCCTCTCTGAGCTTTTGGGGTTTTTTTTCCTATAACATGAAGACTAAGGTTTACCTTGCTTTCATCTTTCAAAAAGAGAAATCAAGGTTTTGTGCACTGTCCAAACATTTGTGTAATTTTTTTTAATAATTAACTTACCTTGTCTACCTTGGAAGCTGTTCTTTCTTAATGTCTCTGTTTTCACACACTCATAAGTGACCCGGACTTCCAAAGTATCCCGTGGATAAAAAGGGTGATGGATGAGGAGTCAAATAGCAAGCAGTGGGAGGGGGAATCCAGGAACCAAGCCATCTTGTCTCATCTCTGGGTTCCTGAAGTCTCAGCTACTGGAGATAACATCTCATCCCTCACAGATGAGCCCACGTTGTCAGGGCAGGAAGCAGGCCAAGCACAGTAAACAGCGCCAAGTACTTGGCTGTCTGTCTCTTCTCAAAGTTGTCACTGGAGAGCCCTCTCTAGCAGTGTGACTTCAATCTTCCTTCCTTCTCACAGCCCGTGCAAGGCTTTGACTACGCCAAGCAGCATCTGGGCCAGCAAGGGGCAGACGAGGAGGTCATCCCTGTGACTCAGGAAACGGTGGTCCTCCCCATACCTGTCAGAGATACTCCTCAGGAGAGAGAAACAGCCCAGGAGGGAAGCACCATCAAGACGGCTAAGTCCACGGAAACCAGAAAGAGGTAGGCGCGGCCAGGTTCGCCCTCTAGGCAACAAGAGGAATAACCGGAGGTGAGCGTTGTGGCCCTCCAGTGAGTTCCTCTGCTCTCTGAAGCCTCCCACCATGCTCACTTGGAATACTGAGAAGGAGAGTAAGAGAGAAAAGGCTCATAATGCCTGCTCCACACACGCCACCTCTTGAGAACTCTTGGTCCATCAGTCACGACACTGGAGAGGTAGCCCTTCTGTTTACGATGACAAATTAGGCTCTGATGTCACACTGCTAACACCTCTAAAAGCAGTGACTTAGATTCGCGATAGCAGTGTTTTCCCAGCAGTGTCTCATAAAACAACTGTTTTCGGTCAGAACCGCCTGCTGAGTTTTTACTATGAGCAAAGCTCTCGAATCCATTGAGGACGGTGGCTAACATTAATGTCAGACCTCCACATGCACACCCACACCTCTGCCTGCACACATATGAATGCTCACACACGTGAAAATGGAAAAAGAAGAACGAGAGAGGAAAACTAGTTAGAGCTCTTTGGCTGGCATTGAGGGCTGGCGTTGAGGTACATATGTGTCAGGTTGGTTCTGCCCCCGAGAATCCTGTGATGGGAGAGCCATGGAGATTGACAATTCGAGGTACCCACAGTGGGGGCTGGGGAAAGCACAGTGGTAGACAACAGAGACAGCAAAGACCCATGCTGCCATCCAGGCATTGTCTCAGGCCTTTCCCCTGACTCTCCGAGGGTGGAGGGGTTGGCGTAGGTGGGATGGGTGAAGGGATCATCTAAGGTGGGGAGGGAAGTGAAGTGAGCAGGCTTCTGCACACAGCATTTCCCCGGAGCTCGGCCTTCGCAGTGGCTCGGACATAGTAAAATATGAGACCAAAAGATGGATTGAAATCCTGGATGACCTTGACTGCCAGGCTCAGGAGATTGACCTGATTCTACAGGCCGCGAGAAGCTACCGAAAACTCTTCCAAGGAGCGATGACATCTAGCCTGTACTTTAGGACCATTCTCAAGGTGATGCAGATGACAGATAGGAAAGATTAGGCTGGGAGACTCATTATAAAGCCTGTGAAATGGCCGTGTAAAGAGGCAGGGAAGCCGGTGGCGGGCCCCATTCGTTAGCTAAAGCAACCTCCTTGGCAACCCATCTTCCCTGCCCCAAAGCACTAGGGAAGCTGGGAGCACTTCTTCCTCCCTGCCTCCTTCTCTTCTCATTCTCTTTATTTAATGGATATGAGCTGTCTATTTGCTGTTTAACAGGCTCTGGAGCTATCCCAAGAAACAAGACAAACTTTCTATTTATGTGGAAGTTACAGTCTGGACTGGAGTGGAGAGAGAGTTGGGGGGACTGTTTTAGATAGATTAGGGAAAACCTTACTGATTAGTGGCATTAGAAAAAGGTACCATGGGCATGATATGTCAACCATGAGGAGGCTTCCTAGCGGAGGAATGATCCAAGCAGATGGAGCCATGTGTGCAAAGCCCGGAGGAGGGGAATTCTTGACCTCCCTGAAGAAAAGCAATGTTGTCAAGAAGGCTGATGTGTACTAGCGAGGAAATAGCAACAGATGGATCAGGAAAGTTGCCTGTAGCTGGTCATGTCAGGTCTTAGAGACCAAAGTCACACTGGGGTTTGTATTGTAGATGGAGATCAGAAGTCATGGATGGGTTTGAGAAGAGGATGTCATGCTGGGATGGATTAAAGGTTGACTCCGTGTGGAGAGCAGACGATAGGGATTCACAGGTGAAGGCCCCAGGAGGCCCAGCCAAGAGACAGTAAGCACCGTGGTGTAATGGCTGGACTGCAAGAAACACTGTGAAGGCAGCTGGCCTTAGGCTGCCATGGCTTTGGAAATGAGCGAAGTGTGTTTGCCATGCGTTTGTGTAGTGAAAGCTGGAAAGAGATCAGCTTATCTGTCCCCAGGAGATACACAGACGACAGTGCTAGAGTCATTAATTGTATGAGTCTGGAGTTCGCAGGAGAGGCTCAGAGTAAAGATACAGTCGTGGGAGTTGGTGGAGCTTTGTTTCCCTATGAGACTGGGACGACTCATCCAGGAGGGGGAGACAGAGAAGGAAGAGCTCCAAGAACTAAGCCTTGGAAGCATTGCAGTGGTTAGAGGTGTAGATGAGGAGCCAAGGTCAGCAAAGCAAAGGGAAGATGCAAAGTAGGATGAGAGGAAGACAAGGAGAGAAGTCAAGAAGTCAAGAGACAAAGTAATCTGAGGACAAAGAGACCCCACTTTAGATCATTAACCTCCATGTCTCTCCCATCTCCAAATTCTTGGGGGCAGAATTCCACATGACACATTTTTACAGTCCTCCTAATGCTAGGCAGAGTTATTTCCTTTCTCTTTTTTCTTTTCCCATTTTCATGTGTGTGTGGTGTGCACTTGCACGAATGTTCAAATGTGTGTAGGCACAGGTGTAGGTAGGTGTGCGTGTGTATGTGGAGGTCTGAGGTTAATGTCAGCCGCCATCCTCAACTGCTTCAAAGAGCTTTGCTCATAGGAAAAGCTCTGCATGAACTCAAGCAACAGAGTTGTGTTTTATTCCAGAAGCTACTGGTACCTTAAGATGAAGTAAAGAGCAGAGTGGTGGATTTCACCTTATGTGGAAAATAAAGCTGAAAGCATAAGTTAGTCACCTAGAGCCCCATAACAAAGCACTCCAAAACTTCGATGCTTAAAACAAACTGCCATTTGTTCAGCTCATGATTCGGGTGGGCCAGTAGCTTGAGCTCTGCTGGATGGTTCTTCTGGTCCAAGCTGGCCAATGCTATCTGGAATTAGTGGCACACCAATCAGGTGATAGAAATTGAGTCAACCAGGCTACCTGTTGCCAACAGCCTTGTCTGAGGGGGCCCAGGACACTAGTCCTCTCTCCTCATGGGCTCATGTTCCAGCAGACCAATTCCATCGGGTTTTTCACAGGGTGGCTCCAAGGGTTCACGAGCAGCAAGAAAAACAGCCCCAGCCCCCAATGCAAGCATTTCTCAAGTCTTGGCTTCTGTCATGTTCCTTTCCTTCCTGTTGGCCAACCAAGTCATGTAGTCAAGTTCTGAGACACTGTAGAAGACGCCACAAAGTTTGGTTGCATGGAAGGATGAACAGAGCTGGCACCATTACTGCAGTGGTCTCTCCAGCATAGGAGAGTGAGCCGAGCAGAATGGAAACCCAGGCAGGCAGGTGGTTTTCCTAGAGGACTCGGCCGCTGTGTGGCTGACAGCAGTACTCTCGTGCTGATTCTCGCCAAGCACAATAAAGTCAGGCTGACAACTTTTCACCCATTTACAAGGGACGGAAGAGGAAGAATTACTAAATTAAGATATTGATGCAGCTCTTCTGGGAAGAATAAAAATTCTTTCCTACCTATTCAAATTGAATAATTTAAATCCTACAGGGATTGATTTTTGAAATTTGTTTGAAAACAAGCACTTCTCCTTGACTAAGCAAGGATTCACCTCTTGATAATTAAGTTCAATTATGTGTTCCCATTTTTATTAAGAAATGCTAGCTTATGAAATAAAGAGAAAGGGAGCAATTTCCACACTGCAGCATGATTTCTGCATCTGCTTCATTATTTTATCATAAAAATGTAATTTTACTAAGGGCAGGCTATAACATTGCCCAGACTGTCACATGAACCTCATCTCTGTTCATCTGTGTCTGATCATGGAAGTCCAAGATCATTTGTGGAGAATGTGTGTGTTCATGTATAGTACATGTGTGTTTGAGTGTGTGCATGTGTCCACATTCACGTGGAGGCCAAAGGTCAAGGTCAGGTGTCTTCCTGTCTTCCTCTATGGCTCTCCTCCTCTTTTTTTTTCCCACTGAACCCCATGCACACCAGCTGTGTAGATTAGTTGCCCACCAAGCCCTAGGGATGTACAGGTCCCTGCCCTTGCACTAAGATACGCACCACCAAACTCAAGTTCTCGTCTTTAAAAACAGAAGTCTGATTATTTAGTCACTGTTGACCTGCCTGATAGACAGTGTTCAAGTCCCCTTCCTCCTGTCTGGAGACTTGGTAATGCTCTTTTGTTCATTTGTGGTTGGGATTAATGGGCCAGGTCAAGGTTGATGGGTAGTCACCCTCATAAGACAGCCATTTGAAAAGGATTCTCATGTTACTGATGAGTCATCCTGTTTAGGAGAGTTGGTTAGTCCCCATACAAGCCCAACTTTGCCTGCAGTTCCGGAAAAGGACCATTGAGCACTGTCACCTTTGGTCTCAGTCTCTCGGCTGACTTGTACTTGCTTTGATTAGTGCCATGTACACACATACACTACACACACACTTTTTATTTTTGACCAGGAGTTTGGAGTTGGATACTCATTGTAAACAGAGGTATATAGACGGAGACAAAGAATAAAACAGATTGGAATTTTGCCCACAGATATGTGCTTGCTGACACCTCTCCTCAAAGAGAAACACCAGAAGATTCTCTCAAAATCAAATGGGGAAAGGGGATTAAAATGTTACAGAAATCACTAAGTAGCTCACAAATGTAAAATAGATTACTAAAGGCTTTCCCCTTCCCCACCCTCCCTAGACTTAAATGAAAATCTTTTTTATCCAATAAAGTCAGCTGGAAAGTAGGTGCTGTTAGCTCTCAGATTCCAGAAACAATTCAAGGCCTAAGTCTCCTGTCTCTCTATCTCTGTCTCTATGTATGTGTGCCTTTCCCGCACAACCAGCATTCAGTGCTCAAATAGCTGGTGTGTAATATATACATTTACATATATATCACTAATATGCAATATAGTATATGATATATATAAGTATACATTCAATCACTTAATGCCTGATCCATATTTCCCACCTATAGTCTTTGTAGCACTAATGTGACAAACTGTTGAAATTTTTTCAGCCACATAAGTTAGAAGATACTGCATTAAGTGAAACAAAATGAATCCAGGACAGAACTGATCAAAGCCTTTGTTATGCTACCACAGTTAGAGGTAGCCACAGAAAGAATGCAGTGATGAGCTGGAGAGATGGCTCAGCAGTTAAGAGCATTGCCTGCTCTTCCAAAGGTCCTGAGTTCAATTCCCAGCAACCACATGGTGGCTCACAACCATCTGAAGTGAGATCTGATGCCCTCTTCTGGCCAGCAGGCAGACACACAGACAGAATATTGTATACATAATAAATAAATAAATATTTTTTAAAAAAAAAAGAATGCAGTGAGCATTTCCCAAGCCCCGTGTGCAAACCTTTAGTTCCTGTGTGCTACAGGCAATGTTTAGCAGGTGCTGCCTCACCCCAGACATACAAACCTTCACTTTTGGTGACTTGTAGAGTTCTGTCTTAGCCAGGGTTTCTGTGGCCTCGATGAAACACCATAACCAAAAAAGAAGTTGGAGGGAAAGGGTTTTTTCAACTTACACTGCTGTTTATCACCGAAGAAGTCAGGACAGGAAGTCAAGCAGGGCAGAAACCTGGAGGCAGGAGCTGATGCAGAGGTCATGGAAGGGTGCTGCTTACTGGCTTGCTCCCCTGGATTGCTCAACCTGTCTTCTTAAAGAAGCCAGGGATGGTACCACCCACAGCGGGATGACCCCTCCCTGATCAATCACTAATTAAGAAAATGCCCTACAACCAGATCTTATGGAAGCTTTTTCCCTCAATTGAGGTTCCCTCCTTTCAGATAACTAGTTTGTGTGTAAAGTTGACACAGGACTAGCCAGCGCAGGTGCCGACATGCACAGAACTGAACATTCTAAACCCACACAGGTGGTGGGAGAGGAAGAAGAGGAGTGTGCTGGAATGCACAGCTTCCCCCAATGATCAAGGGCATTGATTCCACTCAGTGTTCCATTTCAAGCATTAGTTGACAGTATTTTCTAAAGGTGGACAACTGATGGTAGAAGAACAAAAGATCTCTAGGTATTTGTCCCCTCATCGTCTTCCACACAAAGAGGTCAATATTTCCGTTTAGTCTACCCCCAGGTAGGGGAGAGCACACCCCAGAGGCAGCAAAGTCTCGACAGCCCCTTTCCCCATAGTGTTCTGGAGGTGAGAGTCCAGTCCTGCAGAAGGATGAAGGCCCTATGACTTGCTCCCATCTGAGGTTGCTGCCTGAGACATGTTCTGGGGTCAAGTGACTTGGCATTGCCTAGCTTAGCCCTGGAAACCACTCTTGGCTTCCGTGACGTTCACATTCCTCGCTTTCTGACCAAGGTGGACCACCTCCAAATCAGGAATCATTATTGTGACCAGGGACCAGGCTTGGAGGCACTCAACATAGTCCCTGGCACATAGTAGGCACCCCAGCTGTTTGCCCTCAGATGTCAATAGACTCGTCTACCTAGCATGATGCTTTGCACAGAAAAAGGCAACAAAAGGTTTTTCCTGTGCAGCCCAAATAAGTGCTTCAAAACACACGTAGTAAGTGTGCAAGTGTGGCTAGCAGACAGAGTGGAGACCCCATAATGGGAAGACTATATCTGTACTGGTCATGTAGGTCTGTGCTGGGGTGAACAGCCAAGGAGGGCCATGTTTTATGCCTGGCTGAAGATGCTCATGTGGCCAAACACTCAGCATCCAGAGAGCTTGTGAAAGGAGTATGTGTTACACAACCAATGTCACTATTATCTCTGCAGTCACTGAGATAGATGGTGGATTAATGAAACAGAGCTGGGACTGAGGGCCGGGCTCATTGAACTTGTCTAGAGAGCCTAAAACAGTAAATGTACTTCCGAACAACCGGCTGCCTCACCTGTGAGCATGCGTGGGTGAGTGTGGGTGGCTTTTGTTTCCTTTGTCTCTCGTATCATTTCTTCGTTGCCACTGAAACAGGAATGAAAGGCTGCAGTCATAAACTGTACAAATAACATAACCTTGAGAGGAGGCTGTTCTTGTCGAAACTTACTGTCTACCCTGTTGCTATGGTGACTTCCAGCAGGTCGCCCAGTGAGAATGGTTCTGTCATCAGCAACGAATCAGGGAAGCCCAGCTCAGGGAGGCGCTCACCCCAGAACGGAATGACACAGCAGAAAGTGACAAAGGAGGAGACCAGGAAGAGAAATGGTGAGAAGTCTCCCCACCAAGTACCTCTCCAGCCCCTCCCGTGTAAGCACACACACGCTTGCACACATAAGCACACACTTGTGCCCGCTGTGTGCACACTCCGGGCCTCTCTATCCTGCCCCATGAGGCCTGGAGGCAGCTGTAAGGTGTTGGGTGATTTCTGTATCCTCCTCTGAGTCAGCTTCAGTTCCTCTAGTGTAAAGAAGGGCACGCTTCCTGAGGAGAAAATCTTTTTAGAACACAGTGATGCTTGCTTCGGGCTTTTTCTCATTCTTTGGTGAAATGACATGTCATCCAACGCCAAGGCCAACAAACAGACGGATCTCCAAAATGCTGCCCATCTTGGAGGTTTCCTCAACTTCCTGCCCTTAACCCCTTCACAAGTCCCAGAGGGTTCATTGTGTACCTGTGAATCCAGATACTGAAAAGTTAACTAACAGGTCTGTCATAAAAACAAACAAGCAAACAAAAGCGTATTATAAAAACACAAATCAGCCTTGCTGGGCCTGCTGTAATCGCAGCTGCTCAGGAGCCAGAAGCAGAGGCTCACACGTCCGAGGCTGACCTGTACAGCGAAGTGAGACATCACAGCGGCAGAGTGCTTGTGTTACCCTAGGTCCAACCCTCAGCACCCCCTAATTAATTAGTTAATTAATTTAGCTGTGTGGCTGATTCTGCTGGGATACTCAAGCAGTTCATTTCACTCCGAAAGTAAGGGTTAAAGAAGAAAATGGTTGATATAATATATATTTGATTGGATCGGGAAGTGGACCAAAGGGCGGAAGAACCCAGCACTGAGTGGAATTGTGGGGACAGAGGACATCTTCCTTCACATGGCCAGGCTGCAAAAAGAACTGAGCACTTTGTCTGTGAATGTGGGCCCCGTGGAATATTCAGACACTACTGCCGAGTGGTTTAGTGTCCAATCTAGAGCCAGGGCAGCTAAGGTTAATTAATAACTGTTAATGTACAGACTGTTCTTGTTTTCTGCCAGGCTTATTGCAGTTATGGCTTCAACTCTTGTTCTCTGGTGAGCATATGAACTTGAAGAGGAAAACACGCTGTTCTGCCAGCAAAATGGCTGGCATAGGTTTTTGTGGTTCCCGTGGTCTCGTTAATTAGCCTAGCTGCAAGATAATTTTAGAGCCCATTTCACGAAGATGTTTAAATCTAAGTGAGAAGGTTGCGTATAACAGGTAGGCTTTTGAAAGAAACAAAACAAAACAAAAACCCAGCATGATGGCAGGTGTGGTGACTCACGCCTGTAATCTCAGCACTCGAGACGCTGAGGCAGGAGGATTGTCGTGAGAATACCTGCTTCAATAAAAAAACAAATAAAAACAAGTAAGATGCTTTTCTTAACAAGTACAGGTACTTGAACTTCTAAACCAAATGCAATATTATATCTAGGAAGGGAGGGTACTAAAAGGAATATGGGTGAGGGGTTTATTACAGGAACAGAAAGGACCCCCAGACAGCTGCATCACCAAAGCCCACTACAGCACAGGTGGCAGCTCACAAAGCAGGGGACCCGGAGCTCACTGCACAGCCTGCAGGCAGCTCAGCAGCTGAAGACTATCCCTGCTAAGTGACTCTAACTGCCAGGCAGCTCCACTGGTTTCTGCTTCCTCCAGGCAGCCCGCCTGGCCTTCAAGTCTTTGCAGCTTAACTTGTCTGAGAGCGACTCTCCGCGGTCTTACTGTTTACTCTCGCTTGAGAGAAGCCTAGTGAATCTGGTCGGTTTCAGGGACTTCTTGAAGCTATTTTGAGTTACCCACAAACTAGAGACCTAAAATGACAGTCCGTATTATCATTTTTGTATAATGTCTGTGGGCCAGAAACTTACTAGCGGCTGGCAAGGGTGTTCTGACCTGGGGTGTGGCATACAATCACAGTCACATTGACTTGGACTATAGTGACAAAAAGATGGCTCATTTCCGTGTCTGCTGGTAGGAGGCTGCCACATGTGTCCACAGGACTGCTCGAAGAGCCTCAGAACGTGGTCAGCGGTTTTTCTGAATAAGTGACTCAAGAGAGAACCAGGTGGAAGCCATCATGTTATTTTCTAACTCAGGCGTGGACGCAATGCACTGTTGTTAATGTGACTGCCATTTCTCTCTTGCTGGCAGAGCTCAGCGCTATCACTGTAGGTATTTGTACCAGGTAGTAAGGATGGGAGCATCTTGGATACCTGCTGCTACGGAAGGCCTTTGCAGCAGCTGACCAGGAAGTGGCTGCTGAAGGTGGCCAAGCGCATATTACATAGTAAAACCACCCTGTAAAAATGCATATGCATCTAGTGACACTTCTGATAGAAATGTCCCTCTCTCAGTGGCAACTTAGTGACCTGGTATTTGCAAACCAATCTACGAAACCTTTAAAATGTTCAGTTATGACCCATGGTTAGTCTATAAGTCATCTTACTACTTCCTTGGTTTAATCTGACAGAATTGTAATTGACAGAATGATCTACAACCTATATTTCTTGATAATTTAAATAACATCTCAAGTCTCTTGAGCAGGTAGGAGGAAAGAAGAACACGCTTATGCTACATTCATATTTTATGCAATACCTATTTTGCTTCCAAGTTGCCTACTAATTCAGTTGCTTAAACAGGCCTAATTTGTCTTACGATCGTTCTTATGCCTACTTCATGAGAATGCCGTTTAAAAAACAAGTAAATCGGCTAGATACGGCTGGACTTGATGCAACTTCTGTCAGTTTAGTTATGGAAGCACGAAGCCAACTTGTGTCTTGCAGCCGTCACTGCAGAATGGTTTGTCAGATGGGAGAATTAATTCGCCCATGCGTAGGAGGCAACGAGTCTGTGTAATGAGAGGAGTTGTCTGTTTCTCTGCGCTGGTCTCTCTGGTGGCTTTTTCACAGCCTTCTTTTGTCATACACAAGTAAAAAAATGAGAAAGCTAAGTTGTTTGAGGACCAGCCTTCAGAAGGAGAAGCAGAGCAACCGAAGCAGGGCGTGCAGCTAACGACCTGGGAAACTTGTCGTTTAACGTTGCGCAAAATGCGACCGCTTCGTCAGCAGAGACCAGACCAACGGCTGTTATTGTGGCCGCGACCAGACTGAGGGCTAGATGCGAAGCTTGGAAAATTTACTTTTCTCATTTCTATAAACATAGAGAACAAATTTGCTTTTTAATTGTTTTCAAGTGTGTTCTGTCCTCATTTGGAAAGAATTCTTTTCTTTCTGTTTAAGTGCAACCTTGACAATCCTTTCTTACCCACTGATAAGACAACAACTGGATAAATAGTACAGATCTTAAAATTTTCTTATATATATTTTTAATTTATTTTTTAAAAACTATCTTTTCTCATTTTACATGCCAAATCCATTTCCCACTCCCTCCCCTCCTCCTGCTCCTTCTGCTCCCTCCACCTTCCCACCCCCCTTCCCACTTCCTATCCTAACCCCATCCACTCCTCAGAGAGGCTAAGGCTTCCCATGGGGAGTCAGTAAAGTCTAGCACATTGCTTTGAGGCAGGATCAAGGTCCTCCCCCTATATCTAGGCTGAGCAAGGTATCCCTCCAGAGAGACTGGCTTCCGAAAAGCCAGAACAAGCAGTAGGGATAAATCCTGGTCTCACTGTCAGTGGTCCCAACAGTCTGCCCCAGCCATACAACTGTCACCCACATCCAGAGGGCCTAGTTTGGTCCTATGATGGTTCTCTCACTGTCAGGCTGGAGTTGGAAGGCTGTCATTAGCTCGGGTAAGCTGTTTCAGTGCGGATCCCCATCATGGTCTTGACCTCTTTGCTCATATTCTCACTCCTCCCACTCTTCAACTGGACTTTGGGAGTTCAGCCCAGTGCTCCACTGCTGGTCTCTGCCTCTGTTTCCAACAGAGGCTAGATGAAGGTTCTATGGTGACATTTAAGATAGTCATCACTCTGACTACAGGGCAAGGCCAGTTCAGGCACCCTCTCCACTATTGCTTAAGGTCTTAACTGGGGTCATCCCTGTGGATTCCTGGCAATTTCTCTAGTGCCAGGTTTCTTGCTAGCCCCTTAAAGGCTCCCTCAGTCAAGATATCTCTTTCCTTGTTCTCTGCCTCTGTCATTTCTCAATCTTGACCATCCCATTCCCTCTAGTTCTCCTCCCCCTCCCCTTCTTGTCTCTCCTCCCCTTCCACCTTCCCTTCTCCCTCCACCCCCATGCTCCCAATTTTCTCAGGAGATCTTGTCTATTTCCCCTTCCCCAGGGGATCTATGTATGTTTCTCTTAAGGTTCTCCTTGTTACTTAACTTCTCTGGGGTCATGGACTATAGACCCCTGATTCTTTACTTTACAGCTAGTATTCACCTTTGAGTGGGTACATACTATGCTCATCTTTCTGGGCCAGGGTTACCTCACTCAGGATAGTTTCTTCTAGTTCTACCCATTTGCATACAAATTTCAAGATGTCATTGTTTTTTACTGCTGACTAGAACTCCATTGGGTAAATGAACCACATTTTCTTTATCCATTCTTCAGTTGAGAGGCCCATAGGTTGTTTCCAGGTTCTGGATATTACAAATAATGCTGCTATAAACATAATTGAACAAATATCCTTATAGTATGGTTGAGCATCCTTTGCATGTATGTCCAAGAGTGGTATTGCTGGATCCTGAGGTAGGATGATTCCTGATTTTCTGAGAAACCGCCATACTGATTTCCAAAGAGGCTGTACAAGTTTGCATTACCACCAGTGTTAGAGGAGTGTTCCCCCTTGCTCCGCATCTTCTCCAGCATAAGCTAATATTGGTGTGTCCAACATCCTTAGCCATCAGGGAAATGCAAATCAAAACGACTCTGAGATACCACCTTACACCAGTCAGAATGACTAAGATCAAAACCACCAGCCCTTAAATGTAAAGGTAAACCATGAGCAGAATCCAGCCATGGGCAGAGCCACATACTGTTGTCTCTGCATCTCGAAATGCCTCATGTTCCAGTTCTGCAGTTCCCTACATCCTAAAACCCATGTGTTCTGCCTGCCTTTAGTGACAGCAAGTGATGAAGAGGAGGGAGCGGGTCTCTTCGACAGTGCCGGCAAGGCACCGGCAGATCCCTTTGACACGTCCTCTGGATCCGTACAGCTCATTGCCATCAAACCATCCGCTCTGCCCGTAGTGCAGAGCTCAGACAGGGGCCAGGAGTCCTCGGCGGCACTCAATGGTGAGGTGAGCACCCGTAACCTGCGTGGAGAGTCCAGCTGGAGCACGGGGATTTCAGTGGCCCCTCAGCATGTGGCATGCAGCTTGTGTCCGGCCTCAGGCTGTAGGGGCCGTTTGTACCCCTGCGTGCACCAGGCCTCAATGATATGAAATACAAATCGTCCAGAGTGAGTTTGTTCATAGCATTTTCCACCTGCAGTGAAAAGCTCAGAGCAAACCTTCACAACCTGGTGATTAGAGAAGCAGGCATCAGAGGGCCTCCTTTCCCCACCTTCCTGAGTGCAGTCTGCAGCCTCTCGATACTGCACTCCTGTACGTCTCAGCACCCATTAGATCCATGTTGTTGGGGTAATAGGAGGAGGGTGAGCTGAGAGGAAATGAGAACGCACTGTCGTTTGGGCAGGGAGCTGGCCACTAGAGACTCTGGAATGACATCGATTTCTATTAGCAAGCTCGAAATAGCCCCATGGTTGCTTTCTGTGTGGTGTCAATGTCAATCAACTTTCCTGGAGAGCTGCTGAATTGGTGAAGTGCTTGTCATGAAAGCCCGAGACCAGTACCCACTGAAAAGCACACCAGTGCTGTCCGTCATTCTAGCACTGGGGGACAGACAGGTGGACCCTGGGGCTCATCGAGCAACTAGTCTGGTTGAATCTGTGATGAGATTTAAAACATCTGTCACATCTGTGAGAGAGTTTATCAAAGAAAATTAGAGATAATAGATGGTCGATCAATACGTAAGGGAGAAGAGAGTTAACTTGCACAAAGAACAGGAAATTGGGTTGAAAACATTCCTCTATCTTCCTTCAGCGGTAGAATTATCAATGAGCTAAAAAAGTGTTTATGAATCTTTACAAATGTTCACGTGGGGTCACTTGTGCGTATTTATGTTATACATGTATG